GCTGCTTTCTGTTGTTGGCGTAAATATTGTCATTTGTTGCGACATTGAAGTTATTGTTTGTCCGTTTGACGCTGTTCAAATTCCCTCAACTACACACAGACACACAGGCAGCACATACGTTCCGTTGGAGTCCTTAAAGGACATACATTTGAATGTTTGCCTGCAATTAGGTAGATCAACTAGCAAGGGGCGAATACCGATCGCCGGCACCTGGGGGGCCATTACCACTTCCGGCTAATTGGGGGGCGAAATGCCACGCCAGTGTTTCACACAAGGAAAACAATTAAGTATTTGCGGCGTTTAGCCCATCTTGCCGCAATTGTAGCGCTGTAGCAAAAGTAACTGGCTCTTGGCGTCCAAAGCATTTAAGCCAGCTCTGCTAATATATGTAAGATAGAGAGCATTCTGAATTTAACCTTTGTCATCATTTTTCTGATAAAAATAATAATACCTTTAATCAGTATTAAACTTAAATTTGCCTCTGTCGGTGGTGTCATATAAATCTCTTCCAATTTATATGTATTTTATAAATACATTCCAACAAAATTTGCCTGGAAAAGATTTCTGGGAAACCACCATATATAAAACAAACTTCAAAAACTACATTTTTAAGGGGTTCCATACTAACAACTGAAAAATATGAGACAGTACATGCTGTAAATTGAAAAAGGAAAGTAATACCGAAAAAGATGGTTTAAATAACCAATCAAAGCACAACTTTTTGGTTTTATAAAATTCCTGGAATATCATTCTAGGCACAAGAACAAAATGTTCAACAGAATTATATATGTAAATTTCACTTTAGAGTTATGTAAATGACTTCTCCTGCATTTCACAACAATGATAATGATTGATTGTGTATTAAAAATGATATAATTGGGAATTTTATGTTATAAATATTATCTTTCAAGATAATTGCAAGCCTAATTGACATTTGGCAGTTAGACTATGTGCTTTAATTTCAGGACCATAAAATACATCTTTCTAACATTTACTTCCGTGCAAAGGACATCTATCTCCGTGCGTTCAGCAAGAGCTCTGAGTGCAGCCGCACTTTCGAATGGCTCTGCAAAGCCACATGGTTGCCTCGTGAACTGGGTCTTGCCTCCGCCTCGGCTGCTTTTGTCTTTGCCAGGCGGCCTGACGTATGCCACTTGCCACCCGACTGTGCCTCTGTTATCCTGCCGTTGCTGGCATGGCTGGCGTGTCCCTTTTGCAGCCTTTCTGGCCTGGGTTGTTGGGTTCTTGGGCTGTTGGGCTGTTGGGCTCTATGGTTCTTGGGTTCTTGGGTTCTTGGGCCTGTCCCAATGACCGAGTGGCGGTGTGTCGCGACGCTCTCAGCCGCAGAGCCGCACGAGTCCCCGTTAGTGGAATGTGGCACAGGCCGAGCAGTGACGAATGCCAGCCGAGGCGGGCCGAAGGGGTGACGAATGCCGCACGAGGCCAGGGCCGAGCGAACTGAACGAAAGTCGCACTCTGCGGACGCACACGCGCTGCGGCAGCTGACAGTTTCAGTAAAACCACGGAGACGAACGGATTACGGGTAACGAAACAGCAGAAACAGCAGCAGGAGCCTGAGAATAAAATACAAAAAAAAAAAAAAAACCAGCACACACCACAAAAAAAGTAGAATAAAAAAGGAACAAAAAAAAAACAAAAAAAAAAAACATGGAAATGGAAAAGAAAAAGAAACAGAAAACTGAAAGAGAAACCCCGAACATAAAACGGGCTCATAGGAGCAGCAGAGCTATGAAATACCAGCAGGCGAGAAAAACTCGAGCGCTGAGCTTGCTAAGTCCTGTTTAAAACACGCAAAAAAAAAAAAATGAAAAGTTTACATACTTGCCATGCCATCCAGATATATATATGTAATATATAAGTGCCTTGAGCTGTGCGCAGGCAAGGCGAACGAGCGGAGCCAAGTCCAAAGAAAGTTTTACATAAGTTCTCCCTCCTCAATCAGGCACCTTTTTTTTGTATAGTTTTTTTTTTCGTGAGTGTGACCCAAAAACAAAAAAATATTCAAAGAGAAGGAAAAGGCAGCGAGAAGAAGAAGAAGAAGAAGTAGCCAGCAGGAAAACACAAAAGTCAAATAAACTATATAGCTGCCATCACCCCTCTCCTCAGCCCACCTTCCCCCCCCCGCACGCCATCTATATAAAGTATATAAAGTGGCTTTATATCGAAACCAAACGAGTGTGCTTAAGTGTGTGAAGAAGAATAAAAGAGGCAGCACTGGAATCTGCCTGAATATAGTTCTTTTTTTTTTTCTTGAATTTCGGTTTTTGTTTTTTTTTTTGTGTAAAAGCGCGTGTTTGCCATGGCGTATACTTGATGTGGCCGCACTAGCAGCGATTGCGTATACGCCTAGTGTCCCTGTGAGTGTGTGTGTGTGTGTGCGGGTGTGTGTTTGTGTGAGTGTGCGTCACACACAACGTGTTACGCAGAGTAACCAACAACTCCCCCCGAACACCCCGCTCCCGTTGGAAACTCTTGGTTTGTTGTTTAGACCAAAGTGCTCGGAAAAGTAGGCAACGAAAATGGTTACAACAAATTGCAGGACACACACTCACACACACACAAGACACACATTTCTTTTGCTATATGGTGCGGTTGGGGGGGGGAGTGGGGTAAAGAAGAAGCACAAGCAGAAGTAGAAGAAGCAAAAGCAGTAGTGTGACTATGTGTGTGCCGCGGACTTTCGATTTTTCGTGACTCGGTTTCTTGTGTGTGCTCTCGAGTGTCCTTTGTTGTTGCTCCTTTCCGCCTTTCCCCCCCTTGTCCCCTTTGCCCCTTTTCGCCCAGTCCCTCGAACTCCACTCTGCGGATTTCGCCTGCTGTTTAGGTTATGTGTATCTGGCATGTCCTTTTTGCCTGCCTTTCCTTTTTGGAGCGCGCATATGCGACGTCTGCGCTAGCACGAAACGAAACGAAACGAAATGAAACTCAACTCAACACAATTCAACTTAACTCGCCGCGAAAATGAGCAGAAAGAGGGCCTCGCAGGGGGGAGGGAGGGGACATGCTGGCAATTCAGTCAGTCAGTCAGTCAGTTGGGCGCCTTGCTAACTGGGTAAGCCGTGTAGCCAGGACCCCCCCTATCACCCCCCCAAGGATCCCCGCATTCTGCCCTCGGCTTTCACTCGAGTTGAGTCGAATCGAATCGCGCGTGAGCCGAGGCCTGAAGAAATGGGGACTGGGTACCAAAAACTGGGTAGTGGGTTCAGGGGTCTAGCTACTGGGTACCGGGCTCCGAGGACGAGGAAAAGGAAAAGGACCTCCAAAGAGCAAAAGAGAACGCAGAGCAAGTGAGAGAGGAATAGTGACAGAGAGAGAGAGAGAGGGAGAGAGAGAGGAGGTGGCTGGCGTAAAAGGGACAAGGGTGTCTCAAATTGCCTTGGCTTGGCTCACAAAAAAAAAAAAACACGAAATTGTGCAACGCTTTTGAAGTTTGAAGTTGATGTCTGGTGAAAAATATAGCCATATATATATACATATATACAAGCCATATACAAGACACAAAATACATTCGAGCTTGGCTCCCAGTTAATAGCCAGAAAATCGGATAATTGTAGTTGTTCATATATGATTTACAACAGCCATTAATGGTAGTTATTGTCACGAAAGTGCTGTGGTGAACATTTACAATTTATGGCAAAAGAACTGGAAAACAATTAATTCAGATGCGAAGTTACTTCATGAGAATTGTCATTTGAAGCCGGTTTTCGAACTCTGGAAAAAGTCATTTTGGATAAATAGAAATTCATAGCAATAGAATTCAAATAATACTTTATTTATTGAGGTTAGATAAAATTTACTTATTGTCTTGAACTAGATTTGATTAGTGAGGAATATAGATCTACAGTAAAGAGGGGAATAAAATTCAAAATATTGAAAAGTTTATATACAGTTATTAGGGTTAGTGTCTATTGGTTGTTTTTTTGCTTGTTTTTTAATTTATGACAGTAAAGTAGGAAATATAGACGCTTAAATAAATAATAATTAGTTTCTTTTAGACTTTTTTGGTATAAATAGTACAGAATTTGTATATTTTTAATACTCTACTGTGTTACTACTTTAAAGCTATTTCAAGCTGATGATTTGAATTTTCCTAGAACTTGTAAGGACCTCGTTGAAACTGAAAGGACACGCAATTGTGGCCCAGAATCGAAAGCGAAAATTTTCCTTTCTTCGGCCAAAATCTATAAACTTTCGACGCACCAACTGTCATTCGTTTCACTGTGTGACTGTGTGACTTTTGTGTCGGCTAGCGTTTATTTGTGTTTGTTCCGCGACTTTTGGGCGCTAAAAAAAGCCAGGCAAGAAGAGCCCCAAAGAGAGTGATGGAGTGTTGGAGGAATGGAGGAATGGAGCTACGGCTACGATAACTTTGTGGCTCGGCCAAGGCCCAGCGGGTTGGACCGGGGCCCAGGGCGATTTGGTTAAGCATTTTATTTGCTCACCTTACCCTGTTTATCCTGGGGAGAGGGCTCCACAGGACACCAAACTCCCAACCCCCCTCCCCACGTAACGAAACCACAGTCACCGTTCAATCTGCCCACTGGCTGTGCGTGTTCAATTGGTTTTCCTTTCATTGTTGTTTGTTCGCCACTCTTGTTGGCTTTCGGTGTAAAAAATTTACATAACCCAAATTGCCGCATAAATAAATTATTAAATACGTGACGTGCAAATGGTCAAAGACCAAAGCACAGAAGTCGACCGGCATGTGCAAGGCTCAGACTCTGTTCTATGGTGCGATTCCCCAGGGCTTGCAATCAGGGCGCCATCCAATAAGGAGATTGTGTTCTCGCAACTGCGACCAACTGCCATATGCCACATGTGACCTGCGCCAATCGAATGGCGGCGCAGATCCTCACTGGAAATCCAATTAGGATCAAGGCCAAGGCTGCTTGGGTCGCTGGAAACGATCGAACAAACTCAAAATCGTTCTTTTCATATTTCCTGCCCAGAACTAGTTTTCAATCTAAGGTCTAAGGACCCGCCAAATAGTGTTTTAAATGCACAATATTTACTTAGTGAAATTGCATTTCAATTGAATTTTTATTAGCCATGCTCTAAGTTACAAGTAGTTCACTCAGAACCAAAAAAGCTTTAGTTTTAATTATAGAAATATAATTCCTATTAGAAAAAAAAGGGTCTTGAAGAACTGTTTAATAATATATCAATTTAAAGCTATTAGCAACAATTTAATTGTACATTCATTATAGTCAGACTGGCGACCCCAAAATAAAGAAAACTAGCAACTATTAGCCATACATTTGTAATGTGTAATTTGGTTTTTAATGAAAGGATAGCCATTACTAGTAGATTATTTCATTGTAAATTTAGCTGGTCTAACGGCTAACTATGTGAAATAGGTTAGCGAATGGCAAATGTCAGTTTTTCAAATCCTTTAATTTCGATAATAGCTCGCAGACGTAAACGCTTTACTGACCTAAAACTTTTAAATGCCTAAAAAATGGTATAAAGCTTTACATTTTTGGCTCAAGGTAAGGCGTTACCATTCTTTCAAAATGAATATTTAATTTTGCGAATTCGAAGGCAGTAGGAGGGCAAATGAAGAAGGTCGGTTCAGTAAGTTCTCAAAAGGACTCTTTCAATGTATCTCCCAGATTTGGAGACCCTATTTAGTAACTACACGATGTTGTTTGAAGCACTGAGATAATAATCAGTTTCTAATAAATGATATAAGTGAAGTAAACTAATTTTCTTGAGTCCCAAACATACTGATTAAATGTAGCTACCCCGAATTGGTCACTCCAATCCAATTGACTCACAAAAATGCTTCTGTGATGTATGCCTTTGAGCCAAATATACTGCTGAAGCCATTGCAAACGCAGTGTGTGCAATTAGTGGGCCAACTCGCTTAACTACCAAATTAGCTGCTGCGCTGGTGACGATTTGGTGACCCCATAGTTGGGCATAGTTCGGATCGATTGGTCGCTGTCCAAATGCGGGGCCCCCCAAAAGCGGGTCAGCATGATTTGTGATTATAACTGGTGTTCCATATTCGGGTCTCATAAGTTATGGACGCAGTCGGACTTGACCAGTCCAACTGGTGCCAAACGCCCGAAAATAATGGCCCGCTGTTGCAATGGGGGGAAAAGGAGCCGTGGAAAATCGAGAAAGGCATCAGCTTGATGACCTAAAAATAGAATAAGTCACAAAAGGCGGCGAAGGCGAATAGCGAATGGCGAATGGCGAGAGGCGAATAGCGAAAGGCGAACGGCGAAAGGATAAGCGGCGAAAAGGGGTGGTTGAGTGGCACAACAAAACCCGTGTTGACAACGACTTAGGCCACAGGGTGGTATACGGTAAATCGTATGTGGTATATGGCAAAAGGACCTCACACAAACACATACACACACACACAGTCCAGTACTGCTTCTGCTCCTCTTTGCGGCGGATTCGAGTAAAAGAAGTCGCGGCGAAACAGACAGCTGCATGCTTCGCCCCAAAATGAAGTTACCCAGAGAGTGCTGACTCTCTCTAGAACGCTCAAATCGCTCGGTGCTCGGTGCTCGTTGCTCGGTGCTCAGTGCTCGACTTTTTTTTCGTGTCCTTTGTATCCTGCTCTGCGTTTACGTGCGCGCGAACGTTGCATAAACATAAACAAAACGCGACTCGCAGCGAACTGAAGCGGTAGCTCTGGTGCTCTGCGACACAACCTTTTTTTTTACTGTGTAATATCCAGTGCGATATTATCCTGCCATATTTGGTGTGCCCTTTTTTTTTGAGTGTGTGAGTGCAAGTCATCAAGTGTGCAAAGGAAAAACTTAATAAAAAAAAGTACAATCTATGAAAAGGAGTTGGTTAATAATATAAAAAAAGAATACAACTTTTACAGAAAATAGAACTTTATGAATAAATATAAACAAATAAAATTATTTAAATAAAAAACACTAGAACAACAGGGATAAATAAAATGTACCAATAAATATTACAAAATTTAAAGAAACAAATACAGACTAGGTCAGCCTTTGTGAGCCAAGATAAAGAGTTGCATTAGATACAAATTGTTTGCATTAGATAACATTAGATACTCCCACGAATATCGCATTTGACCCGGCTTTTTTTTTGTCCTTCCGTTACTGCATCCTCTGCATTTTGTGAGCTGGTTTGCCAGCCATATCCCTAATCCATTCCCATTTCAATTCGATTCTCAACAACTTGTTCGCTCTCCTGCAGGCGAAGCTGGCGAAATTGAAACTAAAACAGCAACAGAAACCACAAATAATAATAACAATATTACCCATAATACGGAAACACATATATTATAATAATAACAACAGTTAAAGCGAAAGGCAAAAACACATCCAAAAGCGAAATAATATTAATAATAATAGCAATACAAATAATAATAAACCGAAACAGCTCTGGGAACAAAACGCAACGTTTGATGAAAATTTTTTGGCAACACGTCGCGTCGTCGTGGTTGTTGTTAACCACATCCTGCTAACGCCAAAAACCCAATAAAAATTCAAACCGAAAAACCCAATAATAATACAAATTAAACAAACAAAACAAAAAAGCAAGCAAAAATACAAAAAAAAAAAAACCAAAAAAAGAAAAAACAAAAAACCAAACAACAAATTCATCTTCTACTTGTTCTACCGCTTCAACTTTATTCGTCTTCGTCTCCGTAATAAATATATATATATTTATATAAATATACATATATATGCATATGTGTGTGAGTGCGTCGCGTTTGTGTTGGTGCCTGTAAATGTGTGAGCCACAACAACAACAACAGCAACAGCAGCAGCAGCCAGAGCAACAACCACAGCAACAACAATAATAGTTAACAGCAGCAACAATTCTTAACAGCAACAACAACAACAATACCAGCAAGCACCTCCACAACAAAAGCAACAAGAAGAACAACCACAATAGCAACCACAATAATAACATCAGCGGATAGAGCGAGCAGCCAAGCACAACATCGATTGACATCGATTAACGGTACGTTGGTTCCAAAACAATCGAAATAATCGGTCCATTTTGCATTGCCTTCCTATTACGTCCTTGAATCATCAAAATAATCGTTTCGATTCTTAGAATTTATTTAAAATAATGCTCAATTCCAAATAAGGCGCTCAGCTAAAAATAGTCCCTAAAGTTCTCCACTTTCATCGTTGTCTTCTCAGAAATAATAGTTTCAGTCGATGTTCTCTTCTGATGAATTCATTCATTCATGAATCCATTCGGTACTTCAAATTCTCATAGGAATTTCCTATTGAACTGGGTTAGCTTTTCAGCTGTAATTCTTTATAGCTTTTATATTTCTTCAGAAACAAATTTAATAAGATTGTCAATCTTGATATGGTTTCCTTGTTAGAATTTATCAAGTTCCTTTTATTTAATTTTTATTTTAGAAAGAAAGAAAGAATTTCTGTGAACTGAATCAATAAATGAATCATGATAAATGATGATAAATGATAAAAAATGATAAACGGGTATAGAGAATGTTACTATATTTTAATAAATTTAATTGGGTTTTTGCTTTTAAAGCCGCCGCCTTATTTAACAAATTTTTGGGTGGCCTTTTTACTAGTAACTTACCCTTCTGATAAGTACAAATCAATTTTAGTTGGGCAGCTATTAAAGAGTTATTTAAATATTGTGTATTTTATCTGCAAATTAATTGTTTCAGAGGAATTAAAAATTCTCTCTTTGCTGCTTTACTGGAATGTTTTGCCATTGAAAGCTATTTAATAAAGCATACCTAAAAGGGCAAACTTGGAGATGTGCGACAAATGAATTTAAATTAGATTAGTGCTTGCATTATTTTAACTCAAAGGAATATATAGGTTATTTATTAGATCAGACTTAAAGATATAAATTAAAGCTTGCAGTATTTTAACATTCGCTGAATATATATACAAATGAACTGAGCAATGGGCGGCTTGATGAACTTGGCTTGATTATGTCATGCCTCCTTGGTGAAAATCCCAGTTAACCAGGCCCAAGACCTCAAGACTATCAATGGGGTAGATGCGCCCCTCCCCCTCCCCCTTTTTTTTGGCCCCAGTGCCTTGCCCCTTGCTTTTGGGCTACAACCTTTTGCTGGCTTTTGGAGGGCAAACTTTCAGCTGCCATCAAAAAAAAGGGGAAGCGGCATGGTGGGGGAGCGGGGAGCGGTGGCTAACGGAATTCCTTCACTCACTCACGCACACACACACGGGCAAGATGGTTCGTTAAGAGAAGGAAACCCAAAAATGTATTGTTGTAGTCCGCGTTAGGCGTCTACAAAGGGAGAGCACATCCTCTCTCGGCGCAGGTGAGAGCGGGTCCCTCCCGTCCTGCCAATCCTCGGGCTCTCTCTCTCTCTCTCTCGCTAGCCCCAATTCGCTCTCCCGCTCCGTGGGCATGCAAAATTCATTGACTAACAACATGCAAACTTCGTTCAGTTTCGTTGTTTGTTTTATTCCATTTTTGTCCTTTTTACTTGGTCCCTCGAATTTTGTTCAACAATTAAAACGGGCTGGCGAATTTGTCATATTCCATAATCGATACTTTGATTTGCCTGCAAGCAAATTTTGTTTGTGTGCTCCGATTTTTGCGCTCATGTGTTTGCCATGTCATTTGCATATTGACACAAATTCGGTGTTCTTTTTTTTTGCGATTTTTTTGGTTATTTTTTTTGGGTTTTCGCATGACTCATCAGCTCTGCGAATGGCCAAAAATTAATTCGGCAAACAACATTTTGCGAGTGTCATGAATGAAACAGACACACATAAATATATGCTCATATTGGCACATCAGCATGCTTGTGTGGGTGCTCTTCTATGCTTTATGCACAGTGCTGGTGTGTGTGTGAGTGTGGCGAAATATCGAACTGACCTACTTTTATGCTCGATACACACACACACACACGCAGTTTGGCAAATGGAAAAAGAGTGCTTTGACCTTAGCGGAGGCTGCTTATATAAGACCGATACCCAGAACCAAAGGACAATTCGTAACTCCAATTGGAATTGATTGGGATCAAGTTAGGAAAAAAATGTAATAAAACGAATTTGAATAATAATAAGTGGAGACCTGAACTTAGGGTCAATTTTCTAAAGCCTTAAGTTCCTAAATCCCATGCGTTCACCACTGTATTTCCCTTTTATTGATTGGCCATTGTTATTGTCTTGTGCATTTTACTTTTGATTGCAATTCATTTAATGTGAATCGCCGTCTGCGTTAATCCAATTAGCTAGCTGTTGAGGTTTCGATTCGACTCGGTTCGACGGGATCAATGTGCTGCGCTCTGGTCTTAACTTTATCCAACTTTAGCTATTACTAATGGCCAAAACATTCTTTGTTTTCTTACAGCATCGTGCTAAGCGGCGGGCGCTAATCGAACATGGCGCCTCGGATATAGTTGTAGCTTTAATGTAGCAGGCGACATCCATGTGCCTCATGTAAGTACCCCATTTGTACCTATTAACATAGTCGTAAGTCAGAAATAACTATGTCGAGTCAACGCTTTTTTATTTTGCCTACCCTCAATATAGGAAAAATGTAAATGAGCTACACATCTGTACACTTTCAGTTTCAACGTAAAAACGTTGCAAATAATATGTAAATATTGTGTTACCTATAATTTATTCAGTTTGTACTTAAGTGAGTCGCTTATCTGTTGATTGAACAAGTTGGGACTTAGTAAACTGGCAAAACCTAATTATTCAATATATAAATCTGCCGAAAGTTGGTGTAAGTAATTGCCATTAAAGTAAATTTAATTAGAGCAAGGCAACAAAGACAAATACAACTATACAACTAGTTGAGCAACTTTTAACTACTTAATAAAGTTTGAGTGCATTCAAAACATAGAAACTGCAGAGTAATTTGCGATACAACGCTCTTGTTGTAGTAATGATAGTAAATTATGACGATAAATAGATAGAATTATTGTTGAAAGAAATAAATTTATCTAATACGGCTTTTTTTTATTAGAAGGTCAATTAAAAATGGTCCCTAGACTTTGGACTCAAAACAAATACAATACTTATGTATTAATTTATTTTGACTTTTTTGTTTTGACTTACACCAGTTTTGGGTAATATGCACTTTTGGTTATTTTTGTATTTTGTATCCTGTGTAGAGCCTTAACAATTACTGACCTAACACAACAAACATTGTCCCTGTTTTGCAGGCCTTGGAAATCTAAGGCTCTCATCGTTGGCCGCATAGACAATGACAGAAGATTCCGACTCGATATCTGAGGAAGAACGCAGTTTGTTCCGTCCCTTTACCCGCGAATCATTGGTGCAAATCGAACAACGCATTGCCGCTGAACATGAAAAGCAGAAGGAGCTGGAAAGAAAGAGAGCCGAGGGAGAGGTGGTAATTATTTCTAGCTGAATGTGCATAGCTTACTCGATTTTGTGTGCCTACTCAACTACTCTTTCTATATCTGTATCTGTATCCGTATCTGTATCCGTATATGTATCTCTCTCTTCGTCTAAGTGAATTGACTTCCAATTGAGATCGAATGCCCAACGGTCGATGCTGATCGCTGATCTCTGACCTATGATCAACGATCAGCAATAAGTGATCAGTTATCTAAGTTCAGTGATCAGTGATCTGCGATCGTCGCTACTGTGCGCTTTTGTTCGTGCTTCAACTTAAGCCTGAACGTCTATTTTACATATATATATACTCGAATATGTTCTACTAACTAACCCTAATACATAACCGCATATCAAGTTACCAACATAACCATCCACCTTACAAGAAGTCATCCTCCGATAACGTATCTGTGTATCGAATGTGTCTGTGTCTACAGTCTACTCTCTATAACCATCTATCCCCTTCCCTTTGCCATACCAATCTACAATCATGTGCCTCTGTAAATGCAGCAAATATTCACCGAACCCATCTGTCCATATCTCAGAGTCACGCCATCCATCCACCGTGCTTGACACCTGCCATCATCCAACCTGAAAGCCCGAAGTAACTATGCAGATCCAGAGGTCTGACCTACTAGCTGTCTGACCCCTAACTGGACCACAACTCCTAACTTTTACTTCTTAACTGTCAACTGTCTTCTGTTTTCGTAATCTCTACCAATACCCTTGCTATCATTTCACCAATTTCAAAGTCTAAAATTCGTAAATGTTTTTATCGTAGCTAAAAACCCATTCTAACTGAACTCGAATCTCAACAATACAGCATAAGTCCACCGACTTTCGTTTCGATCTTCAGTTTGGTTTGTTTCGATTTCATTTTCAACAAAATTCCAAAACGTAAAAGTGTCTAAAAGAACAGTAAAATGATTTCTGATTTCCTGTTTTGGTTGTTTGTACTCGTATTTTGTATTCAGCATAAGAACCCAAAAATCCCCCAACCACCAGACAACCCTTTATGCTCTTTTACGTACCGATATCGTAACGTATTACTGTCGAATCTGTAAAATTTCTATCCTGCCATAATCGTTGTATGTTTGTTCGTTTGTTTGTTTGTTTAATTGTTTTATCTATTTGAGAGTAAGAACTGTGTATTCTGTAACCCATTGGCTTCGTAATGTGTTCTAATATGTATCCTAATCGATTACCTAATCAATTTTTTGTATTATTGCGTAACATTTTATTTTCAATGCCAGCAACCCCAACAATTTAACATTATCATTGTCGTATCGTTATCGTTATCCTTATCCTTATCGTATTGTACCAGTCAAAGGCTACAAGGACTTAAGTTATATTTCTTGAATTCCGTTCGGTTTATTTATTTTTATCTCAAGCCAAGTCCACGTCCATGTCCATGTCCATAACCCCCTTTGTCCTCCTCGTCTCAGCACACTCAGCAGACCTCCAGGTATCGTCCTGTAAATAGCAGACTCGCTTGTGAATACGTGTAGCAAAACTCGACAGCCGCGTCGTCCATTACCAATCATTAGTGCCAATATACAGTACTCAATATCAGACCATTACCAATCGAATCATTAAAGAGCTTAGTATCCATTTACTTTGGTATTGGTGGAGCGAACACAGGAACCAATATTAACTGCCTCTGTTGAGACCTTCAATAAACAAATTTCTGGAGATGGAGTCTATGAAAAACGTACTTAAGGACATAAATAAGTCAATGGATAAGACCTTAAAATACTATTTTATAATGTCAAAAATGAGGCCTTAAAATACCATTGTATAAAGTCTAATATCACCCAAAAAGAATTTAATGCCAATAAAGAATGCCAATTAAACTTAGCTGACAGCTATAGAACACAGCGTAATTCAAAGTTTTTACCAACTATGATGTCTGGCTATAAAAATACTACATGCAATGAGAGCAATAACTACTTTTAAGAAACCAGTTATTCCTATAAGCCACCAATCAAAATAAAAAGACTGCCTGCTATAACACTCAAGGCTAAAACGGAAGAACCAATACTCAGTGCTACAGCTGCAAGCCATGAAACGCAGAAAAAAAGGACGACTAAATGATTTAACACAATGGTAGACACAATCATTGCAAATCGTGACAAGAAACAGCAATTTAATTCTTGGATTCGATGGAACTGAAAGCTCAATCAATTCAAGCCGATCGTAGCCTGTTAGCTGCCTGCTATGAAATCTTGTAAAAAACCATTAAAGCGCATTGTCATTAGCCACCTACACAAAGACAAGCAACGACTTAACCCATGCGCACCCCAATCAATTTCGCTGTCTCTGTCTCTCTTTCCGCCTCTGTCCCTGTCTTCGTCTCCGTCTCTCTTTCTGTCTCTCTCTATCTCTATCTGTCCCTCCGTAGACCTTTCACCCTGTAAAGACCATTCCAACACCCAGTCACTGATACAGACAACCACACACCCTATATAGATATAGAAATCAATCAGAAATCAGAGGGTCGTTACTCATGATCTATTGCGAAGATGCGCAAGTGCAATTGGGGGTATATATCCGATATATCCCATTTGTATAACCCCCTGACATAATGCTGAAAACTGCTCGCCTACATAACCACTTTCTACCGTTTGTTTTTTCTTTCGTGTACTCTTCTTCCGTTTCATTTACAACTTTCTCTCTACTTTTTGAACGCTCTCTCTCAACGAAAACTTTTGCGCGCTGCTGTCTGGACAAAAATGAATATAACCATGACTATAAATAAATAAAAAACCATCAATAATGAATGACAAATGCGAATTCGGCGCTTGCATAATGCAAAAAAAACCAAATTACGAAATACCAAATCAAAACCAAATCGAACATGAAATTTCCTCTACGCTACTTTTTACTTGAACTTAATAATGCTCGTAATGAATGCCCTAAATCAAATACCAAATCCAAATCTTCTTTCAGCCGCAATATGGTCGCAAGAAAAAACAAAAAGAAGTAAGATTTTGCTCAGAAAAAGAAACCACAACAAATAAGAAAACCACCCCCACCAATTCCCAACACCCCCCCCACCCACCGACCTTTGAGAACACACACACACACACACCTTGAGAATTGAGAATCTCGAATCTCGAACCTCAATCTCAATCGAAGGAAAAGTTTTATGATTTCACCTTTTTTGTGCCTTTTGAGTTGAGACTTTATTGCCACAAATCGTTTCCCTTTAGCCGAACAATTTTCCGTTGCCATTTTGCGTTGTTGGTTCCTCGTTTTCTTTGTGCAACTGCTGCAACTAACCAATCAAGCCAGCCAATCCATGCCACTTAGCTCAGTTTGATCCAGCCCCCACACTGGTGTGCCCCCAGACCCATGATATACGCCAATATCGTACCCAGTATCTACTATATATCTTTGTATCCGCTCCTTAAACGTAGTCCTCGAACGTAAGCTTGTATCTATGTATATCGTAAATTCGTTCTATATCTTTGCCATACTATATCTTCCCACCGCCCTGGGCCGCTTAATGCAAAAACGAATAATAGTATTAAACAAAAAAAAAAAAGAAACAAAACGAAAAGCTCACTTGTAAATAGCCAAAAAGATAAACTAATGCAGCTGGAAATTCGCTTTCAACTTTCTCGCTTTACTCAGCCTTTGCCTTTGGGTCCTTGCAGGGATTTCCTTTTAAACAATTATAGTACTTTAGTTCTAGTTTATTGTCTGGGATCTAAAACAACAAAAACATTTAGCCCCTTGAAATGTGTCTTTTTAAGGATTTCAAATTATGTATAATAGCTTTAACTTACCTGTAGGTCTTGTAGATCTTGGAATGTCATACCTCGTTGAATTTGTTATAAAATTTTCAATCAACTGGTATTCACAGAAAAAAAAATGTTATAAAAATATTTTACATAAAAAATCATGAGGGTACCCCTTAGGAAAAATATTTTAGCCAACATCCGGAAAAATCAGATAAAATTTTCGGTTTTTTGATTAAAACCCTCGGAAACAATGGCCAGATCTTGGAATGTCATACCTTGTTGAATTCGTTACAAAATTTCCAATCGAATGGTGTACTCAGCTCAAAAATTTTATTTTGGCCCAAATTTGCAAAAAAAATCAAGTGTTACCCCTTACAAAAAATGCGAAAATCGGTCAAAAAATAAAATTTACTAAAACCTCCTGGAATCGGTTGTGTAGGTTGTCAGCTACACAAAACAGTCATTCTTTTCGCTGTGCGTCTTATCTTGGCAAAGTTACATCAAAAACCTTTAAAAAATTAGTTTTTAAAGTTAAGTTAATATATTTAACGATTTAATAAACAAATTGCAAAATCTATTTAAGCTATATATCAAAAGTATTAAATTAAATCTTCAAAAATTTAAACAACTAATGTAAAGTTAATTAAAAAAGTTAAAAAAGTTATAAACATAATACTTTAGTAGGTTTGTTATCCATAGAAAGGTTTGTGTAAGGCTTTCGAGTTTTAAGGTTTTTAGGGATTAGTTATTATTATTTTGAGCTGGGACCTTGCAAGGACCTTAGATACTTCGGCTGGCCGATGCGAAGACCAAACGTTTTTCTTATATTTTATCTATTGCTGTTAAATATGCTTCAAGACACAATTGTACAAATATCCCTTTGTCAACTGCCTATTTCGATTTGGCATTGGCATTGGCATCGCCATAGTTATTGCCACTGCCCGGGGGCTTCAATTACTTATCAAGGTGGAGCCCCCAGATGACTGAGTGCTGGCTAAGGAGCTTAGCGAACCCAAGGCAGGAATCAAAGCCGCTGAAACACACACACACACACACACACACACACTAAGACATAGACACACACGGCACTTCGTCCTGGCTTGGGTGCATCTGTGTGCGCGCCCGAGGAGTATTAATGGCAAATCAAGGGCTCCAAATGTCCCCCAACCGAACATAATACCCCAACTATGTGTAGCCGTAACCGTATCTACTATATGTGTATCTGTATATGTTTTTCCAGCTAATACTTGAGTAATTTGTGTGTATGTGTGTAATATTTGTTGTTCTCAATGTAAGCAGATGTAAGACATATATACCCATATAAATATATATATATATATAAATATATAAATCAACTAGCCTCCACACTCAAAATACCCAAATCCAGATCCAGCTCAGAACCTTTCGATTTAGGCTAGGAATTAGGATAGACCAGAGAATGTAGGGCTAGGCACTCGTTTCTTTTGACCATACTATGCAGATGTCTGATGATTTACAAGCGGCGAGCAATCCGCAAAGATTTCCCCATGCGCAAATTTTTGCATTGCCCCGCACCAACACCCGACCAATAAGAAATTCTTCCGACCTATACAAACGAGTACCTAATAACATATAAAGAACGAGGATATTGGGAGCGATAAAGCGCAGGAGAAGTCAAGCAAATCAAGCAAACAAACAGATGAGTCACCGCGCAGAGTGGCCAGCGTACTGTAAGTTGTGGGAGGTGAATCGAGTAAGTGCCAGCCAAAGTATTCAAGTAACCAAGTATCTCATCCAAGGACATCCCGATTCCTTCGGTTGTGTATCGGAGCTAGGGCCAGGGATCACCCGAATATTGCTGGGATCACACAAAAACCGATCACATGCAAATCCGATTGCTGAGCATGCAAAGCATCCCATCCAATTATATATCCCACAATATCCCAGCAATATCTCGGCACTTGGCCTATATCGTTAGTTCTTTCCTAGCGTTAGATGAACATCATTAAGAGGTTTATCAGTTTCGGTTCCGTTTCGGTTTGAACTATCATTTGTAGTTGGCTTCAGACAAACAGTAGAACCTCCCTAACCCGAACTCAAAACCCAGCCCGGAAAATACGCCTGAAACCCGTTCCCAACCACCTGCTATTTGTGTAAAGGTGTGCCTGGGTGTATGTGTACATAAGTGGGTGAAAGTGCGTGTGCTTAGGTGTGTGTGCATGTCTTTGTAGTTGACGTTGCATGGCGCATGAAAACTTTCTCTCTTAGCTACTTTTTCCTATCCTCTTTTCAACTTCCTTGCAGCAAACCTCGCCTCCCCAACCGTCTAATTGGGATCGTTACGTATCGTAAACTGCGATAGCAATAGAAGAAACAAATCTTTTTATGCCCTTAAAATCTTTACTCTTTGTATTTCCCCTCCTATTTAGCTCCCACATTTAGTTTATATTATTTTCCTAACCTAGTGTCTAAACCCAGCTTAGCCTTTATATATTTAGTTAAATTATATATAACTATTTTCCTGCTTTACCCCGTATTTTTTAAACTATGTCAACTTCCTTTAAAAACTAAAATCGTTTATCTTTGGAATTTACCTATCCTTTTCCTCCTAACCCCAGGTTTGCATTGGCCAATTTGGTATGATAACTGATTGCCTTGTATCCTTGCATTCCTTACATCCGTTAGACATTGCAGTCTTCCGCTTCCTTTAAAATCCCTCCAGTAGATCGCTTATATTGATTTCCATTTCCGATCCAATCCCAACCCAAGCTAACCGCACGGTTAGCTAACACTAACGGACTAACCTTATTTCGTCATTGCGTCCGCCGAATGCGTCATAAATTTGTAATCAGTACGCGGACTGCGAAAGCGCGAGGACAACCTATGTCCGGTCGGAACCGGCTGCTATATCCAAGTATCTGCCTCTCTTTCTCACCCCCCCCCCCCCACCCCATGCAATGTAGTGCGGTTGCCTTTTATTAGTTTAAATATAGACTGGCTGTTTAAAGAGCGGGCCTCTCGCCACCCATCGAAGCACCAACTTCGTATCCGTCTCGGTGTTCGTGTCCGGGTTTTGGTGTCCCAGTGTCCTGTTGTCCTGGTGTCCTGTTGTCCTGGTGTCCTGTTGTCCTGGTGTTCTGGTGTCCTGGTGGGTGCCGCAATTGCGTCAAAGCTTCGGCTCTAGAAACACACACGCACACAGCCACAATCTAATTGTCACGCCAAGCCAACTATTATGGAATTTTTCCTTTCTCCTTTAGTTTTTTCTTTTGTGGCTCACTCGTGCTCTCCTTTTCTGGCCCCCCTCTCCTCGCCCCATATATGTGCTCGCTCGTGCACATATAGTGGGTCGTACTTGCATAGTATATGGCATATAGCATATATACCGTATAGCCAAAGTGAGAGCGAGAGCGAGAGGTAGAACGTTTCATAAAGTGACGTTAGAGTTTTTTGTGCTTTTGGCTCGGGGCTCTTAAATTTTGCTTTTGGCATTGCACGTGTCCGCGTCCGTGGAAAGTAAAAACGTAATGTTTCAGTACCCCAGTACGAACCCTTGTCTGCGTGAAATCGATAGGGAGGCAGATGGGATAGTTGGATTGGGATTAGGATTGGGATTGGGACTGGAATGGGATTCCGAAGCAGTCGTCACTGGGCCAAAATATTGTCATACAATATGCATGGCGGGGGCAATTAAAACTTGCCAGCAGAACATGCAAGAATAATGTTTGTCTGGGCAATCAGAAAATATTTTTTTAAAAACAGAAAATGTCGACTCGGTTGACATTGAGTTCCCCATTCCTTACTGCTCCTGCTTGTTATCCGATCCCCCGGATTTCCCAATATCTTCTATAATATATATTAGTATAGCACTCTAGCTAATCGTTTACCAACACTGGACACGGTTTTTAGTTTCTATCTATTGACGGGCATGCCACACACAACCACACACGAAAAGGGACCTTGTCCAACACTAGTTCTTTCAGTTTCCCTTTTCCGTTTCCATAAACATTTCCGTTTCCTTTTTGTGTTTCCACCTTCTACTCATTGTTTCGTTTCCGTTTCTTTGAACCCGACAAAAGAACAACGAAGAGTCGAAAAATAGATGAAAACTATTGAAACGATGAAGCGCCCAAAAAGGTGTAACCCAGATATTTGGTAGAACCGACTTGGTGTTACTTTTGCATACCAACAGAATCTGCTGAACCCCCCCAAAAAACCCGACCCCAAACTGTCTCCTGCCCCTTTGCTCTCTCTCTCTATCACCCTGTATATATGCAATATATATATGTATTTATAATCGATACTTATACTATATATACCAACATATATATATTAAAAAATACATATAGACAAAACTCTGATATGATATGCAAAACTGAAACCATCACGAAATTTTTTAATCCGAATCGAAAGCGCTTGAAATTGGTGTTGATTTGTGTGCCGCTCACCTTCAGACTTATTATTTCCGATTCTTTCAATTCCATTTTAAGTTGGATTCCGACCGGCCAAGTCGTGCCGCGTGATATTGATATTGTTTGTACGAAGGTCCTTGCTAATCCATTCTTGCCCAACCCGTTCTCTTCTCCCCGCACAACGCACATCGCACAACGAACTACACAGATCCGATATGATGACGAGGACGAGGATGAAGGTCCACAACCGGATCCTACACTTGAACAGGGTGTGCCAATACCTGTTCGATTGCAGGGCAGCTTCCCGCCGGAATTGGCCTCCACTCCTCTCGAGGATATCGATCCCTTCTACAGCAATATACTGGTGAGTGATAGGCTCTGATCTACGATCATTGGGGAGGGGAGGGGACTATTAACTAATAACCTATTAACGATAATCCAAAATTGATCCCGATACGACGCTCTCTTGCAGACATTCGTAGTTGTAAGCAAAGGAAAAGATATTTTTCGCTTTTCTGCATCAAAAGCAATGTGGCTGCTCGATCCATTCAATCCGATACGTCGTGTGGCCATTTACATTCTAGTGCATCCATTATTTTCCCTATTCATCATCACCACAATTCTCGTCAACTGCATCCTGATGATAATGCCGACAACGCCCACGGTTGAGTCCACTGAGTAAGTACACCCGGCCACAGTCACTTGATATACTCCACATGACATAAGTTATCTGACCACATGTAATCCCCGACTGAACACACTTGATTTGGTTCCTTTCCCTTAGCTAAATTTCATTTTCAAACTTAATTCAGTTGATTTCCGTATCCGTTTCCGTTTTCGGTTCGTCTTTGTTTATGAAACTTTTATAACTAATGTTATTATACTCTGTACTAGTCATATAAGTATATAAACATCTATATACCTATGTGCTATATAATCGACATACTTAAACAATATTTATACGATATTATACAATACTATATATGTAACTTTTTCGATATTTATGCAGATGTGTATTTAGGTCAAACTTGAATTTCTTTCCTCTATGATTTCAACAAAAGCCAAACGAAAAGAAATCGTTAAACAGCAACAAACCAAAGTGCAATCGATATGTAAACACACCTGTACAATATCTATAAACAAACTCAATTAACTGTCTAATCGATCCTTATAACCTACGCAGGCGAAGGTAAAAATGTCGAGTAAAGTAAAGTTCCTAGGTAGCTAAGCTAAAGCCATTTTGTCCAGTAAGAGAACCCCGATATCATGATGCATTACTATATAGTTGTGGTACGAAGGTTCGGTGCCATGGCACTTTCCGATGGCCAGTCCATTGGGAACCTCGACCTGTTGAGTGCATCCGCTCTTGTATGATATGACACCACAATCGCATCAATGCATTCATACCTATCTATCTACTATTTACTATCTAATATCTACTATCTACTGTATATGTACTATATCCTCATATCCGTGAGTAACTTTGCCATGTTCGATCGTTCGACTGTTCGAGTGTTTGATAACTCGATCATAGAGTCCCAATCTCAGATCCATTCAAATTACTCATTCCAACTGTAAATTTGCCACGCTAGTCCATCTGTGGTTGGGCATCACCCAATCGCAATCGCTATATCCCCCGATAACCGACTATAACCTATCCCCCAGATTTCGGGGATTCGTAGAGGTCCAGCTGGGACTGAACCAGTCCAACTGGTTGGTTTTGGTTTGTTCACGTTTCGAATTAAATTCAATCGATATATCATTTGTAAATGAAGTAACTTTGCACCGTATACTCGATTGTAGTTCCTAGCTACCTAGTTTATATATCTTACTCATGCTTAGAACATACAACTTATACCTCCAATTATATTCATAGTTAGTTCTTATGTAAATTGTTTAAGTTTATATATTAAGTAAAACTTTTTGAACAACAACGTATTGTAAACTAATTTCCCTAAATTAATCCCAAACTAGAACCAGAATTTAGAACATTTTGATCATCGTATCTATGTAAATCATATATATATGTAATCATAGCGCCCATAACTAGTTAAGATCCCCCATAATCGAAAATAGTTATAGAGAATAAACCATTTTGTATGAGGGTTGGTAGCGTACTGTTTTGGGGAAAGTAAAGTAGAGTTTGTGTGATATATCTAGCTGACTTAGAAAGCTCATATCCTTAGAACAGTTGATGGATCCTTGGATCCCGTATACATATATATATATTATATATATATATATATTTATAGAAATCCCATATGTCGCCAGGACATCTGTCTCTCGCTCTTTTCACTTAATAGTCTACTCCCAATCGATTCGATATGTACTTCTAGTTAGACTCGATTCGATTAGTGCTCATCTAGAACTCTAGAACTCGTTATCGTTAATCATTGAACAATCCTAGAACATTGCGTATACGTAGCGTTAATTTGTACATAGGTAATAGTAATGGTAATGGTAAACCCTAGCGACAAACAAAAAGAAAAGCCAAGCGAGCAAAAATGCTTTGAAGAGTGCGCACAGCGCCAAATAAAGCAAAAATTAAAGTGAAAAGAGTTACGTCATTTTTCTAGCTGATATCAAAGTTATTGTCGCAGATTTGGTATCAGAATCGAGCACCCTAAGAGAACCATACAAAAAAAAAGTGACGAACGAGACAGAGCGACAGGATAATCATAAGCATGAGGATAGGGAAAAGGATGTGGAGAAGGTGAAGGTGAAGGAGCAGGATAAGGAGGAGCAGATGGCAGCCAGATGGAAGTGCAAGCGGAAGTGCCACTTGAACTTGGCTAAGGGTTGGATTCAGGAAATAGGGGATAGGATGGGTTACGATGGGGGCCTAAACAGCAGGTGCCGCATAACTTGAGGCACGCACACGCACACACACGCACACACACACCGCAGAAAAGGGAAAGTTTGAATATTTGGAATTGCTGGAGAAAGTAAAGGCAAAGGACACTCCTTAAAGTGGATTGAGGAGTGCATGCAGAGAGAAAAACTGTATTTACAATTTGTCTAAGTTCCTCTTTTAGCTGATATTAAATTGAAATTAAAGGAAAATGGAAAAAAAATAAATTAATTGGTTGTAAAAAATAAGTTTTTTTTTTATTTTATTTTAACTTAGTCAGCTGATATGTTGGTAATAGCTTAATCATTTTGATTCCCTACTTCCAAGTAAGGCTTAAATTATTATAACAAAATGTATTGTGACAATTAACCTACAAGGACATGAGAAGAGACAGAAGGATGGAATCCTAGAATATAAATTCCAAGTAAAGAGTTTTCAGTTTTTATGTGCCCATTATGTCCCATTGTTTTCCACAGTGCAGAGGTCACACTTGTGCAGGCTCCTGAGAAAGACATAATACCTGCAATTAAAACACAGCTCAAGTGTCCTTCACAGGCATTGGGGCCTAGGTCAGACGCATAACCATCCAACCTACCACCCCTCCCCCTCACCCCCCCGCAGGACGACCCCCGCCGGCATCGAGCCGTGGGCAGCGAATTTAAACTAGTTGCGGCGCCCAAAGGACAACGGCAACGATAACGAGCGGAGGGAGGAGAAGAGAAGGGTGTCACTGAAACGCTGTCTGTCTGAAATCTGTCAAATGGCTAACCAGCCAGCGGGGGCGGTGGGCGGTGGGCGTGACAGCGGGGGGCGTGGAGCAAATGGGCGGATGGGCCGAAGGTCGGCCTATTGATCTGACACCCACCCGAATAGCTGCCCACACAAAGGCAGCTTCAAGCAGCTGGCCGTTAAGTATTAACCATTATTGACATTGACAATTGTCTATCTGCATCTGCAATTCAGTAATTAGGACGGTCAAGCACTTTTCAAGTGTCCTTTTGATGTGCGCCTTCCATTCGTTCCATGTCCCCGTTTAGTCCTGTGAACTACGAAACGTTATTCAGTACCTGTGTACGCAAAGATAGTAAGGGAAAGCTGTAGAACATCTATTAAATATCTTTAAAATTTATTCACTTACTTCAAAAATTGCTATCAAATAATAAACTGCCACAAAGAGAAATAAACAATAATTTCCTTTAAATTAGCATTGAATATCATTGAGATATTGAGACACAACTACTTTTAAACATGTAAATAAGTTAGGTAATATACTGAAAACGAATAATTTTGTTTTAGGAGACACCTTTTTTTTAACACATACCATATTCATTGTGCATTTGAAGGATTCAATTTCCCGGTTGGTGTTTTTGCGTGTGCGTGTTAGATGGAGTGGGTATTAATTAATTTAGAAAAAACTGAATGATGTGGTGCCACCATTCACACATCCCCAAGGGACCAGAAGTGCAGGGCTGCAAATGGCATGGGCTAGGCTAATCACTTAAGTTAGTTTTAAAACGTACGTTTGGATGAACTCTTGGAAGATCAACTGTGGATGGAAGCAGATGGTCAATCAACGCTGGATCGGAGGTGCCAGTGACTGGAGATCGCCACAATGGGAGCCAGGAGTATAGCCTACTTTTAAGCGCCACTTTTCCAACTACTCCACTTTGCAACTACTCTATTTCAGTATTTGATTTTCGATTTCTATGTAACAGTTAACCATCTATTTTCTTGGACAACATTTTCCAATTGGTTTTAGTTTTTGTGTGTCGTATTTTTTTTTGTTTTTGTTGATGACCCATCATCAGGCAGTCTAACCAAAAAAAAAAAAATATTTAAAGCAAACAATTGAAGTGCATAAAAGCCCAGAAGTCAACAACAAATTGCATTTCGAAATTCAATTCGTTTTTAGGGTGATATTCACCGGAATCTACACATTTGAATCAGCTGTTAAAGTGATGGCACGAGGTTTCATTTTATGCCCGTTTACGTATCTTAGAGATGCATGGAATTGGCTGGACTTCGTAGTAATAGCTTTAGCGTGAGTTATATAAACCTATATAAAATAATATATATCTTTTTACAATTGAAAAACAAATTATCATCCATCCGTATATCACGCTTACAATTCCAATTGAATACTGCTTAAACACCGAACAGAATGTTCCATAGAAAATGATCAGAAATTAAATTACATTTGTCAGTATATATGTGAAGCAATAAAAATACAATCTAATTAAAGACTTCCAAAGTACATAAATTGTTACATCAATTTCAAGTGTTTAAATTTCATTTTTTAAGATAGTAATCAAAATAAAAGAAATTTATTAAGTAATAATGATAATAAGCTAATTATCAATATTAATACCTAATCAATTTCGGGTACAGTACCCTTAACTCAGTATTGTATAACGTAACAAGAACTTATAAGTATTTGAACTTAGTATTGTACAACACTATTTTCGGTGTTTAGCAGTAACTCCACCCTCGCACCAATGTATCATCTATAAGGATCAGTTCTTGTTTCTTGTGTTGCCTTTGAATTACAATTTGCTTTCGTATTGGAATCGTAACTGAAACATCCATCGTATAAAGCCGTAGTGACACGAATCTGAATAGCAGACCTCCCACTTAACCCAAAAACTCTCCCACATCATGTTTTCCTCTTCAGTTTGGTTTTATGAAACTGTTTTTGTGTTCTTTTTCTGTTTCAAGTTTACAGTCATTTGACTTCTGATTACAAATTAGCGGTATTGCCATACAATATTTATTATTATTATTATTAATTAATGCAAAACATTCACACACCCACGTGCACACTTCATTAACATAATCGTGTCTGTGTGTGTGAGTGTGTGGGAATCGCGCAATTAGCAGCATCAAGTTGAGTCAATCAATGAATCCGAATGAAAAATACGGAAAATACGAAAAAAAAAACGTGACTGAAGGCTGAAGGCGACTGAATGCGGCGTTAACCGATTTACAGACATATGCATATATACATATTTTGCTGGTCCATTAAATGCAATCAAAGAGACAGCTGTGTGTTCTATCAGCATCAGCAATTAAATGAGCACAAAGTGTGGGAAGGACGCAGAAAAACGAAGAAAAATCGCTGCCCACACCAAAAATGCATATGTTTGCATGGTGCAATAAGCAGGAAAATCAGTTGAAATTTTTAAAATCATAAACGAAATGCAGACGGACAGAAATGTAATGAACTTTTTCGGTTGAAATCTGAAAGAAATGTTACTCTTTTCCCAGAAAATTCTTAGCCAATAAATTGAAAAGAACATATATTTCAGTTTTAAACAACATGAGATGAAAAATTGAATAAATCATGGTTTCAACTAACAATTTGCTACCATAAATATATATTTTTTTTATAAAAGCCTATTATCCTTTTAGTACGCAATAAAAAGTATGTTTGATGTTTACTCGGTAAATACTTGCTGACTTATTTAGAAAAATGTATATATAAAGTTGGGTATTTTCGGAATTAATCAAAGGGGAGAGGCCAACGGAAGTATTCAAAAGTGGAAGCCAAACCAAATTAAAATGAACAGAGGCACAGGACCAAAGAGCAAATGGAATTACATTCATTAGAGTCAGCAGTTGGAAAATAATAAAAACGGCAAAAGCAGCCACAAGAAAACAGCTATGGCCATGGCCATAGAATTCTATAGAATTATACGTTACACGCGAGGGAAACAAAAAGAGTCGCGTTAGCTGAGCATTTTTATTGATTTATTTTTGCCGTTTCTAATGACGCGCCCAACCACACATACACACATACACACAAGCACACACACACATACATAGGCAGGCTTTTCTGCGATTATTTCCCAAACTCACACTCACACATATAAAAAAGCCATAAACAAATTTTTGGTCGCTCAAGTTAATTTTTGTTCCATTTCCCATCTTTTGGTTATTTTTCTTTTTCTTTTTTTTTTTAAATTGCCGCTTTTCCTTGTTCTTTTTTGTCGTTTCGTGACAATTCCATTTCATTGCTTTCTGCTTCATTTTAAGCATTTATTGGAGCTGTCTATTTGCCATTCTTCTTTTTTTTCTTTATCCTGGGTGGCCACCAGGGATCCAAAGGGGGGTTGGGGGGTGGTTTTTGGGGGTGAGGTGACTGTGTCGTGCGGCACATTTGGCTGGTGGCGCCGCCAGGACGCGCAGCCTTGGCTCGTCAATGCCAGGCACGACATTTTAAAGCTCCGGCTTTAAGCGTTCGTGCTTTTTTCCCCTGGCGGAGAGTGAGAGTTGGCGAATGCAGGCCACTCGTTCGCCCATGTCCTTTTTTTTAGCACAAAAGCCGGGATTCTGCCCGAAATAGGTCCTTTAACACTGTTAAATCAAGCTGGCTTTCCAATTAGCTGCATTGTGGCCACATTGCGTATACGTATTCTGCATATGACCATAATTATGAGTACAGACTTCTGGACTCCGACTTAATAAGGTTTTTCCAAATGAACTTAATATGGTTAATAGGGGTTGTCCAAAAATAGCATAATATGGTTAAAAATTGTGTTAGTAAAGAAACCTTGGTATACCACATTGCGTATACGTATTCATTGCGTATACGTATTCATTGCGTATACGTATTCATTGCGTATACGTATTCATTGCGTATACGTATTCATTGCGTATACGTATCACCATAATCATGAGTACAGACTTCTGGGCTCCGACTTAATATGGGTTTCCCAAAAAGAACTTGATATGGCTGAAAATCGAGTTAGTAAAGAAACCTTGGTGTACCACATTGCGTATACGTATTCTGCATATGACCATAATCACGAGTACATACTTCTGGGCTCCGACTTAATATGGGTTTCCCAAAATGAGCTTAAGTAAATGAGTAAAGAAATCTGGGTATAACATACCCAAAATCCAAAAATCCTTGCCACAAAAAAGTCACGTATACGCAATCTAAGAAAATATTTAAATATTACGTATACGCAAAAGGAAAAGTCTTTCCATCAAAATATTTGTCCGATTTTTATGCAAATAAAAATATTTGGTTATTTAAGTATTCAAGACACATCTAAATTATACCCAACAGAAATTTGTAAGCACTGCTTGTCCTTAAAAAAAATGTTATAACTGACCTAAATTTTTGTAGATCGCTTGCAGTTAGCATCCTCAGATACTCACGTTATCCCCAGATTTTAGAACGTTCCCCATCTTGCTCTCCTTTTTATCAAAAAAAAAAAGAACAAAAACAGTGGGCAATTATACGAAAGCATTGCACGCAATGGCAGACAAATCGATAAATATTCATGAAAAATAAATGGAACCGCTGTTGCTAGTGGCACTTTGGATGGGGGGAGCGGTGGGGAGGTGGTGTTGCACCCGCCACCCGAGCATTCCTAAAGGATGACGTACAACGGGTCACAGCGCACCACATTTCTGTTCGGGAGCAGGGGCTAAGCTGGCTCTATTAATATGCCTTTTTATGGCCAGCCACGGAGTGAAAATTGATTGGTGGGCCCAGGACGAGGGGGGCTGCGGGGAGGGGGAAGTGGGGAGTGGGGAAGTGGGAAGTGGCCCAGGTGAAGCTAATTTACAAAATGTGTAATAAACTTTGCCCGGCCGCAGCTTTATTTATTTTAGTACCTATGTTTAGGCATATGTCAAAGTTCGCATTCATTTGGGCTTTTTATGGCATACACTCACCTTTCATACACATACACACACACACCCACTGAGCACTCGTTTGATTTACCTTAATTGCTTTGTAAAGAACAACGAAAGAATAATGAACCCACAACATTTGTAATTAATATCAAACGCGATCGAATCAAATCGAATCGAAGCAAATTCTATAAATAACCAAACTACAACCGCATGCCTTTAGCCCTATAATTACTAATACTCGATGACATTCTGTGTGTATATCCGTATCTGCCGACTCGACATCGAATTACCAACCACACGTTCCGCCAATCAACCATCGAAATGTGTAACCGATCCGCAGTTATGTGACCATGGGTATAGATTTAGGTAATCTAGCAGCCTTGCGAACGTTTAGGGTGCTGCGAGCGCTTAAAACCGTAGCCATTGTGCCAGGTATGAAATTGATTGCGAGGGAAATGCCTATTATTGTCTTTTAATGCCACCCCTCCAATAATCGATCTACCCCCCTCTGTCTGTCATCTGAATCATCTGCGTGAACAGGCTTGAAGACCATCGTCGGCGCTGTCATCGAATCGGTGAAGAATCTGCGCGATGTGATAATCCTCACCATGTTCTCCCTGTCGGTGTTCGCGCTAATGGGCCTGCAGATCTACATGGGCGTGCTCACCCAGAAGTGCATCAAGAAGTTCCCGCTGGACGGCTCCTGGGGCAATCTGACCGACGAGAACTGGGACTACCACAATCGCAACAGCACCAACTGGTACTCGGAGGACGAGGGCATCTCATTTCCGCTGTGCGGCAATATATCCGGCGCGGGGTAAGTTATTGACTTTATCCGTTAGCGATTGCAAGCGGAAAGAAAAGTTTGGATTGGGAAATAGATGCTTTCAAAATTAAATCAAACTCACAAAGATAGTAATCGTGAATTGTATTAGCATACAAATAAAAACCCATATAAAGGCCATAAAGGCATTCGACAATGAAAAATAAACAGAAAAGTGTGAGTTTAAAACGATAAAGCTTAAATTAAAACATATTAAGACATAAAATATATATTTAACAAATAGCAGGTTAATTTAAACTTGTAGCATTGATTAATTGTTCCTCAATATATCTTCATTAAGTTGTATTTCTTCAAATGGGTTTGGTATTACTTCTTTAAGCCTCTAAAATTCAAGAATCTAGATAACCGAAATATCTCTGATATTGTGGGGGTATTAAAAACGCAATAGCTTACAAATTACAGTATCTAAAGAAGGTCTCTGTCTCAACTAAACGAAACTCTGTTGTGTATTATTTCTTTGCCATGCTATCCAAACCAAACCAAACCGATCCGATCTGATCCCAGGCAATGCGACGATGACTACGTGTGCCTGCAGGGGTTTGGACCCAATCCGAACTACGGCTACACCAGCTTCGACTCGTTTGGATGGGCCTTCCTGTCCGCCTTCCGGCTGATGACACAGGACTTTTGGGAGGACCTGTACCAGCTGGTGTTGCGCGCCGCCGGACCATGGCACATGCTGTTCTTTATAGTCATCATCTTCCTAGGTTCATTCTATCTTGTGAATTTGATTTTGGCCATTGTTGCCATGTCGTATGACGAATTGCAAAAGAAGGCCGAAGAAGAGGAGGCTGCCGAAGAGGAGGCGATACGTGTAAGTAGACACCCAGACAACCGCAAGTGCCCCAGACAACTGCAACAGCAACAGCAGCTGCAACTGCAACTGCTAAACGCAACATGCAACTGCAGCAGCAAGTGCCGGGCAGTGGGACAAGAACTGACAAGAACAGACACGAACAGACAAGAACAGACATGAACAGTGCAGTACCGAATCACGTACTACATACCACACCAAACTGCGATACGATACCCAAACTTACTTACTATATACTCAACTAAACTCAACTCAACTCAACAGCTGTGGTAGATAATTTCAATTTCGATTGCTGCGGGAACTCAACCGAATATTGAGAATATCTACCCGTACCAAAAATAAAACAATGACTATCACAGCAACAACAGACTTGCTTTTTTCTTTTGTATGTACCATATGAATATGAATATGAATATAAATCGTCTACTCGTATGTATATCGTATGCCCTAATATCGTATGCTTTAGCTAATTGTCTATCAATCTAACTTAATCAACTATCGCAACATCCTATCGAAACAACTACTCTCTCTCCTGTACTTTCCAATCATTGTATAAAGTGTCGAGCGCGGTTCCGTCTGATACTGTCATCCAGTAACTGCTATAAGACCTGGTCTTAATCACGAACCATTTAGCTTTTAAAGTTCCTGGAACTTGCCCGTATCTCTCTCTCTATCTCTCCATATATATATTTAAATATTTTATCTTATGTGTAAACTCTTTGGAGATATACTCGTACTTACTTACTATATATTTATGATTTTAGTGCACCATTAGTTCCGATCCTGTCACTAGTCACAAACGATTAAAGAAAATAACAAAAGAAGAAATCAAATTACTCACAACCTATACTTACTCTCTCTCTCTATATATATATATATATATATAAATATGTATGAAATAAGTTCCAGTACCCTATGTCCTGTCCTATACCCAAAACCCCCTCCTCAAGACCCAGCACAGCACCTTAATGTATGATTTTATTTGATCTGTGTACCTATAAAACATAACCGATCAAAGTAGTTGTAGTTTTGCTTTTCGTAATGTACCAATTCCATTCCGAACCCAAGCCTCAAACCCTTACCCCAAACCCCAAATCCCCCTGAATCTCCGGATGTGTGAGATTGCGGAGTGATGGGACTGTACATAATCGCTAATTATATTAACAATTGTTGTAGGAAGCGGAGGAGGCTGCCGCCGCCAAGGCGGCCAAGCTGGAGGAACGAGCAAATGCGCAGGCTCAGGCAGCAGCGGATGCGGCTGCCGCCGAAGAGGCTGCACTGCATCCGGAGATGGCCAAGAGCCCGACGTATTCGTGCATCAGCTATGAGCTGTTCGTTGGCGGCGAGAAAGGCAATGATGACAACAACAAGGAGAAGATGTCCATTCGCAGCGTCGAGGTGGAGTCGGAGTCGGTGAGCGTTATACAAAGACAACCAGCACCTACCACAGCACACCAAGCTACCAAAGTTCGTAAAGTGAGCACGGTAAGTATTCCGAGCGCAGGCGCAGCATTTTTCTTTACCTTCCTTTCCATTCCAGTCTTTTTCTTTCCGTTCCGTTTCGTTTCGTTTCGATTTTTTCTGTTCCGAGTTGACGAGTTTCCGTTTCCGTTCCTCCATATGATCCTCCTTGTTTCGATATGGTTTTCGGTTTTAATTTTTGTATCTTTTTTTTTGCTTTTGCGTTTTGGGCTCTACTGTACCCAATGTCTAGACCTAGATGTGTTAACTGTACTTGAATTGTGTTTGGTTGGCTCGATGGCCCATCATCGATTATTATGTATGTGTTGCCTTGAGTTGCTTTTGGCCTCGGTTAGGTTGCTTTTCCGTTGCGTTTTTCTTATTATTCCAATCGACTCCTCTGCAAGGGTCTCGTCCTCCGATCGCTGCCTATCGATCGACGATCTCTGGGCTCCAGTTTCAGTTTGCGTTGCAGCTTCGATTCGATTCGTTCCATGAGCTATCGATTACTTGCGTCGCCGCTTAAACTACAGTTAGAGCTGCAGTAAAAGTTACAGTTATAGCTACCGTTACAAATGCCGTTACATTGCCATTGCATTGTTATCGAACCTGAGTTCCAGTTATCGCCTATCATTTTGTATCGTTTCTCGTCGATTTTCCTTTGATTAGTTTGATCATTTTGTTGGATATCTCCCTCTTTTGATTGGATCGTACATTTCGTGCCTTATATGCTATATAAACTTACCCGTATGATCATGCAACTAGATATTGAATCCTTTCATACCTGTATATGGATATAGTGTTAGTGCGTGTCGATATGTATGTACCATGATCTTTACCTATCTCTATCTCTCTCTACAATCTTTATTTTGTTCTAATTTCGCTTTTTTTGATTTCCGTTCGTTATGTGCATGCGAGTGCCTGAGTGTGCGTGAGTGTCGGTAGGATTTAGAATCCCAGACAGTTTTGTAGTTCTATTGTAGGATCTTTTGACATAATTTATCCATTTGCCTAGCTACAGATTTATACTTTTGAGTTTATAATTCGTTTTAAGTTTTGTCATTGCTTTCCAGTGATTTTGTAGTATCCTTTCTCTTTTCTGTTTCAACTTTTGGTTGGGTCATTGCTCGGAATGCTTTAGGTAACATCAAAAATCCTTATCTACATATATATATTATGGTTTCTTTGACAATTGGCTTTCGAACTGCATTCTGCTGCGCCCATCATTTCAATGCCAGCTAAGAGAACCGACAAGAACCATAGACTTCCGATTAGTCAGCTTAGCTTGACCATTGAACCAGCGCTATAAGGCTTTGAACCCGCACAAAAACCACTGTGCTTTTCGGTTTTCAATTTCGATAATTCTCGATTATTGTTTTGTTTTCAGTTTTAAATACTATCCCTGATTCTTGGCCAGGGTGTGGTCAGCGATCAGTAATTTCTTTGAGTTCCTGTTCTTGTTTCCATTTCTGTTAACGTTTCGTTAAGATATTTGTTGATAAATTGTGCGATAGAGTTCAAGATATGTTTATTTATGTGGCTGCATTAACCATTGCATGCATTGATCGAACGTAACATGTACCGTTATAGCATCTATAAGTGTATAACAGTTTAAAAAGTTGACACACGCCACAAACGGATTCCGAAAATTAGAATCCATCGATTGGAGAACGTTGGCACTCGTGCTATATCAAGTCGAATCGAACAGATCGAAAAACCTATCGGACGAGCGATAACCAATTGCGATAACGACAGATCTGCAGAGCTCTCTCATTCTTTCCCTCTCTTGTTATGCTAAATATAGTTACCAATCACGACACGCGAATTTGTTTTGGCATATAGCAAGCGTTTGCATTTCCGCACAGCTACACTTACACAAAAACGCGCGCAATTGGACGATCCTCGCGATAACCGATAACCGACGATAACCGGCGGTTCCATTTATCAAGTAGCTAACTTTTGAACGTATCGAACGTTTTTGGCTTTTTCCGTTTATGACCTTCAGCCGCTAACATAGCAATGAACTGCCATGAATAACTAAGAAAAAACACATTTTTCACACAATATATACCTAACCGATAGATATACTGATTGATAACTCGCTATTGCTATCTCGCTCTCGCTCGCTAGCTCGTTCTAAACAACCATCAATTTTGCTCAGGGCAGCCTCAGATAGTTTTCGATGAGAGCAGAAACTATTTGGGATTGACCGTTGATCGTATATCGATAAGCCCCCAGTTGCCTCAGGTAGGTTGCTCTCTCTCTCTCGCTCTCTCTCTTTCTCTTTCTCTCCCTCCCACACACACTCTCTTTCTCTCTCCAACTTTCTCTCTGTCTCGCTCTGTTAAACCAACCAAGCGAACTCACACAGACAAGAAACAACATGCGTACACCCCCAAAAATAAAGTCTGATAGGACTCAAACAGCCCAGACATACCGTGTAGATATATATCCTTATTTTCGATCCGCTAGCCGCCCCCTGCCATGCCCGCTGAGTATGCAACGAAAAGAGATCGAAAGCGCAGTAGAGTTGTGATTTGAAACTAGAAATGCATCCGTACGAAGTTTGGAAGAGATTTGCCTAGAGTTGATTGTAGAACTTACCGATTAACACTTGATTCTGATTTCGATTATTTTCGTTACCGTTTTTGAGCCGAATTTTCCGTCAATGGGACCGATTTCCTGATCGACTCAAACGTTTGTTCAAACCTTTTCATTTTCAGTATTGTTCCATTGAAGTTTTCTCTTCTGTTGGTTGATAATTCTTGATCTATGAACCATATAAGTATAACCCCGTTTAGAACATTTGCTTTTTTTTTGTTCTCCAACCCCGACCCTTAAATATTTAGCTAAATTAATCAACTTTTTAAACAAACGCTACGCTGAAGTAGAACCGAAATCACACCACAAATTTTAAACTCAAATCAAACGTTCACAAAACTTAAAAATGTAAAATAGTTGCTATCTTATCATGTTAAAAGGAACAAACACACACACACAAACAGTAACACAATATATATACACATTTATACACACACACTTGTGTATTCTCACACTCATACAACTAAATGCTCCAAGTAATAACGTTTCCTTTAAATCGTAGACAGCCAAAACGAAAAATTTATACCAAAACCAAAAAAAAAATGAAATTGTACAAAAAATAAATATACATTTATCCATAGATATTAAAACCGCAATCGAGGAATATATAAATTTTTTTGATTCATTTTTTCTTTTTCTTCTTCTATTTATACTTTGTTTGTACAACAAATGAAAAATGAAAACGAACCGAAAAAAAAACAAAACTTAGACATCCTTATCCTTACCTGGTTCACCGTTTAACATACGCAGGGGATCACGTAGTTCTCACAAGGTAAGCGCCCAACACACACACTCAAACACACCACACCCACTACTGACAACTCACACAGAAACACCCACACAGTCACACCCACTAATTCAAACACGGAAATGCGTTATACACGTCCCCCCCCTCCCCCTCCCTCGCATTATCGGCCTGTCGATCATGTCCATGTGGATCACCGATCCAGAACCATGGAATTGGCCCTAGATCATCATGACACTCGTCGATCACCTGAGACTCACCGTCTTAGTCTTAGTCAAGTAATCGTATGTTGTAGGCAGTTGCTACCGTACAGATTTGATAACATATAGTTCTCGAAACGGTGTCCATCGAACACTGAACGATGCCTTTGTATCATCCCCATATAAGCGACTAGTTAGCGTAGCTTCCGTAACATCTGTAACACTCCGTAATACCCGAACATCTTTAGAACTGAGAGTCACATGTGGCACTAACCGATAAGCATTCGCATTAGCATTACCATAACCATTTGTCATACTCACCTAATCGTCTATTACTGTCTATATGTTTTATCGTTTTCTTCTCTTGAATAATTGTTTTCTTGTTTGGCCTTGTTTTGTGTATCGCTGTATCTTCATATCCCTATATATATATACTGTTATATATACTATCATGCATACCCATCTATAACGTATAGTCGTCTAACTAACTGTACTGCTCTTTACTGTACTCGGTTGTAAGTGTGTCTGTCTATGTGTGCCTGTTCCCTGTTCCTTTGTACACCTGACTCTGGTTAGCTTGATCTCAGCAGTGGGCTTCGATGGGAACAGTTCTCGTCCGGATGTCACTCATCTCACGGTCACTGTCACACATAGTCGCAACTCACTGTCACCATCACGCTCACCTTCACGTCTCAATATGCATTTTACGATCGTTTTCCCTTCTTAATTATTATGATTTCGTCTTCCGTTCTCCTCGGTTGATTCCTTGTGGTTCCTTATATTGTTTTATACTCTGTAAGTATCTGTGTATAAACATGTGTAAACACAAACTAAAAAAAAAAACACAATTAACTGAGTAATTTTCTGAAGTCTGTCTGTGGTCCGCATCGTATCTTTATAACCAACTAAAGAAGTTTGCTCTCTGAATAACCGAAATCAGCTCAAATACTTTGAATGCTACCTGAACTGATTTCGTTACCAGCTCATTTGATTTGTTGTTCCGCTCTTAATTTATTATTGTTGCCTTGATTGCCCATTTCAATCCCATCGATACCGAGTCTTTCTGTTTGAAAAAAACGGCCCAATATGCCGGAAAAAAACCCGCGTCATAACTCTCACTACTCTCGGCTAATACCACCTACCTACTCCTTCTACTGCTCTCTGCTGTATAAATACTTTGTAAATCCTTATTACGACTATATCAAAATATATATTTAACATACATGGCTGTGTGGCTTTACTGAATGCTTGAGTGGGTGCGTGTATGCGCGGGTGTGCGAGTGTGCCAGTGGATGCGAGTGGGTTGAAGCCGATGAACTAACCGATCCTCAAACCTGTAACCATGCCCAGTACACGATACGGAACGGACGTGGCCGCTTTGGTATACCCGGTAGCGATCGCAAGCCGTTGGTATTGTCAACATATCAGGACGCCCAGCAGCACCTGCCCTATGCCGACGACTCGAATGCCGTCACCCCAATGTCCGAGGAGAATGGGGCCATCATAGTGCCTGTATACTACGGCAACCTAGGTGAGGTTTCCCCTTTCCCACAAAAAAATCCATCATAATATTCTGAATGAAAAAACTGACTGATGATCGAATTCGCTTACAGGCTCTCGGCACTCATCGTACACCTCGCATCAGTCCCGAATATCGTATACCTCACATGGCGATCTACTCGGCGGCATGGCCGTCATGGGCGTCAGCACAATGACCAAGGAGAGCAAATTGCGCAACCGCAACACACGCAATCAATCAGTGGGCGCCACCAATGGCACCACCTGCCTGGACCCCAATCACAAGCTCGAGCATCGCGACTACGTAAGCCCATCTTGCCCATCGATTGGCAATCTATCAAACTAACGATTATATCGATCATTGCAGGAAATCGGTCTGGAGTGCACGGACGAAGCTGGCAAGATTAAACATCACGACAATCCTTTTATCGAGCCCGTCCAGACACAAACGGTGGTAGACATGAAAGGTAGGTTTGGCATTCTTGGCTACTTTGTGTTACAAATATAGGTATTTATCGAATGATAACAAACTATAATTTATACGAACTGTCGCTCGACACTATAGCTAATACTTTTTTAAGATTTGACGCAAATCCATAAGCTCGTAGTTAAAATGGAAAAATGCTATTTCGATAACACAATCCCTTTTCTGCTCCTTTTAGACGTGATGGTCCTGAACGACATCATCGAACAGGCCGCTGGTCGGCATAGTCGAGCAAGCGATCGCGGTGGTAAGTGGATCGATATATGCTTGCTGATAACTGTAACCTGTTTACTATCGATTAATCTACATTTCGTTCATTCTGTACATTTTTGCATCCCAATCGATCGTCGTCTCTTTTGTGTTAACCCTTACATGTGCATTGTTCGATTTGTTTTTCGTTTCCGTTTCCTGTTCCGTTATCATGTAAATACAAACTGTAAACAGCCTTTGGAGGGGAGCGCGGGAAACAAAGATTGCCAGTCGATTTTCCCCGACAATCTCCTCCTCTTTTAAATAATTTACGTTTTTGGCTTTACAAAACCAGCATATGTAGGTTAAGATCATCTCCAGCCCGATTTCTGCCCAAATATCAAATGGAGTGGAGTGACAGTTTTATTGACCTGGCCATCATGGCTGTTGCGACAAAAGTTTAATTTAATTTCCCCTCATGTTTTATGCATTTCATTTTGCATTTTGATTGCGGTCCTGTTTTTGATTTTATCGGTTCGCATGCGTTTTGTGACCCCGCCTGTCCGAGTCCTTCGACTGATTGATTGATTGATTGATGGCTGGAGCGAATGAGCAAGAGCTCGCATGCAGCCCGCATCCTGTGCATCCCGTGCATCCGTCGATTGATATTTGATAACAGATAACAAATAACTGATAGCTGATAACTAACATATCCCCGCCGGCAAAGAGCGAACGATGCGTGGCCTTTATTTATATATTTTACCCATTGCATTTTCCTTTTGTGTTATGTTCTGCATACTATCTTTACTCTCGTGTGCATACTTATATATATATAAATATTTTTGATTCCCATACTTTCTCTACTTTAAGCTGAACAAACAAAAACAAAAAAAAACCCAAGCCAAGCAAAACATATTTTATATATATACCTATGCATATATATCCATATATTTAAATATATACTCCAATGAATGACTTCTTTGACTCGTCCATTTTATTTAATGCCGTTGATGCTAACAGAAGAAAGCGAACAAGCAAAAAAGCCAAAACCTATACAACAAATGTTTAAAAACAAACATGAACAAAAGTCCGTTTAAAAGTGCAGCCCGCAAGGCACACACACACACAGCCAAACAGCCACACACCCATATATAATTAGAGTTGTATCCTATCCGTACACAAACACACACAATTAAAGCGGGAGAGCGAGGCGCTTCCTTGCAGCTTCTCTCTCTACTCTCTCTTAAAGCTTTCGCAATTCGCACGCTGCTGACGCCACCCCCCTCACACACTCACACACACTGCAGCAGCAGCAATGGCGACTGAGCAGCCGGAGTGGTGACGAAAACTCCATCTCACTCTCTCCTGCCAGGCTGTGACGTCACGAAGGCTGCTTTTTCAGAGAGGCTCAACTTGACACGCGTTTTAAAAACATTTCAAAAACGTTTCAAAATTATCAAAAAAAAAAAAATAGAAAAAAAGCTAAGCTAATCGCGGAATTCGGTTTTCTTCCAATGTTAGTTAACAATGCTATTTGTGTTACCTATTTCGTTACATATTTTTTAATGCATGCCTTAACTATAGTTACCTGTATATTTCCAATATTTTAGATAACTTACTGCCCAAATTAGTTGATTTCGTTTTTATATAAGTACCTACATTTTTCATATTTCGTAGTTATTTTGAATTTTGGCGTATTAAAATAAAACAATTCCTAGAGCATGCTTCTGTTGAACAGTTCGTAGAACATTATTTAGTCCAATCACATTCACTGTTATCTAATGATTTCCATGATTATAAACAATATATAATATATATAGAACTAATTAAACTGGTAACTGAAGCGCCAAGCAACGATTGTATTGGAATATGATTCGCGTAGTACTATTAGTGAGTTTCCATATTGTCCGTTTTGGTTCCGATAACCGAAAATAAACCTAGCTTAACCCGGAGTTTAATTTAACTAGGTATTTCCAGGTATTAAAAAACCGAAAAATCGATCTGAATTCTTCCGGATTTGGCCAAAATGTTTTTCTTAAGGGGTAGCATCATGATTTTTTTTTCCAAATAATTTTTTTTTCGACATATTTATTCTGTAAATGCCCCTTTGTTGGAAATTTTGTAACCATTCCAATATTCGTTACCCATTTCCTAGGGTTTTGATTAGGGGTTTGGCCAAAATATTTTTCATAAGGGGTAGCATCATGATTTTTTTCAAAAAAAAATGTAAGTAGTTAGATTCAGCATTAAACGCATATAGACTTCGATCAGCTTTTAGTCCAGAAATACCCATAGTAGTAGCTGAATACCAAATTGGCGTTGGACTCTTCGGGCACCGAAGTGCCGATATTCTTGCTGCAGAGCTGGTAAAATGTCAATATTGTAGGGAACAATGGTTCTTCTCGGTTACAATTGACGGTAATTAATTTTGTATTTTTTTCAAGAGAAAATTTCGCATGGAAATTACATGTGGGTTAACCTAATTAAAAATATACATGTACATTTAACATTCGATGTTGGTATACTCGTATATTTATTATTTTTCACGCTGTGAATAACAATTAATTAAGCCAAAATTAAATATTTGGCAATGATGACTCTATTTGATACTTTTTAAAGGGTATACTCCTGTTAGCCAGCGTAACGTGAAGAATATTTATTTTTTATTTTTCATTAATGGAGTGCCAGCTCTACGTAAGAACATCGATTAATCCCGGCCAAGTAGTTCAGTTGAGTTTAGACTTATCTAACCTTTAAATTTGACTAAAAATTGCAATTCCTACCTGCAAACGTTTTTTTTTTTCGTATTGTGCAACGTGCAAAGCAAGAATTGACAACCAGTATCTCAAAGCCAAAGCCTCTCTCACACAAGACACAAACTTTGAACCGATTGCTTAACGAATAATATCCAATGCAATGAGCTTCAACAAATTAAAACAGCAAAACCAAAAACAAGAAATGTAAAGAAAAGAAAAAAGAAAAGAAAAGAAAAGAAAAACGAATGAAAATGAATACTATCTAAAGTAAAAGCAATCTGGCTGAGTCAAAGTTGGTCAAATCACCACTAATAACAAATTTTTGTATGGTTCAGTCTCCGTTTACTATTTCCCAACAGAGGACGATGACGAGGACGGGCCAACGTTCAAAGACAAGGCACTCGAAGTGATCCTCAAAGGCATCGATGTGTTTTGTGTGTGGGACTGTTGCTGGGTTTGGTTGAAATTTCAGGAGTGGGTCTCGCTAATAGTCTTCGATCCCTTCGTCGAGCTCTTCATCACGCTGTGCATTGTGGTGAACACGATGTTCATGGCGATGGATCACCACGACATGAACAAGGAGATGGAGCGCGTGCTCAAGAGTGGCAACTATGTGAGTGTACTAAATTAAACCTAAATCAGTTCTTGTACTTTATCACTATACATTTTGCAGTTCTTCACGGCCACCTTCGCCATCGAGGCCACCATGAAGCTGATGGCCATGAGCCCCAAATACTATTTCCAGGAGGGCTGGAACATCTTCGACTTCATCATCGTGGCCCTCTCGCTTTTGGAGCTGGGTCTTGAGGGTGTCCAGGGCCTGTCCGTCTTGCGTTCTTTTCGATTGGTAAGCCTCCGTTCCATTTCGTTAGGATCTCGCTCTAGCCGTATTAGCCTAGCCCTAAGTTAGTCCTAAGATCTTGCGACTCTAACCTTTAACCCCAGCAGGCAACTAATTAGCGTGTACCCACGTGCAATTGCAATTGCAATCGCAATTGCCGTCGCCTTGTTAACTCGTACTCGTGCTCGTATAAACCCCTTTCCTTTCCTTGGCCCTGCCAATTTGCAGCTGCGTGTTTTCAAGCTGGCCAAATCCTGGCCGACGCTGAATTTGCTCATATCGATTATGGGCCGCACTGTCGGCGCCCTCGGCAATCTGACCTTCGTCCTGTGCATTATTATCTTCATATTCGCGGTTATGGGCATGCAGCTGTTTGGCAAGAACTACACAGGTACTTTAGGAGATGGCGATCGCCGACCCAGAATCTCCCGATCCCTCCCAGATCCAGATCCACAAACCCCCCAATCTCCCAAAATCGAATTCAAAGCAAAGTTCTAGCGTGCAATGAAAATATTTTCTTAGTGCAACCTTTCTCAACCTTTTTGCCTCCAACTTTTTCAATTTACATACGTTTTTGACTCTATATGCTCCTACTATACTACTAATTCTTAGCTATAGCCTTGAAAATACACCAACGTAAGACCAAGAATTGGCCTAATCCGAGAACTCCTTTGGAGAGCCACGCTTTGGGCACGGTTTTTCTTTTTTGTTCAACTCACTTTGGTTTGATTTCCATCTAGTTTTTTTAAGATTCTGCTTTTGCTGCCAAAAAACAAATTATAGCGGAAAATCTTGCCCGGACTATGTCTGCCATTACTTTTTTCCTTAGAGAGATCCTTTAAGCGAATGTTACGTTATAAGATTACTTTTTAGGCCCGGAAATAAACTAGGCATAGCCTAAGCAATATAACCTGTATATATAGAAACTACTCAAGTGTTTTTGTATGAGGTTGTATCGTACACAGAAATTCTAATCGCAGTCAAAGATTGCTGTGCAAGAGCCATCGGTAACATAAATGATACTTTTACTTAATCTTTAAATCGATTGTTTTTTGGAATAATTCTATATAACCTAAATACTACTTTTTTCCACTATATTTTCCTAATGCTTTGCCCGGCTTTCAAATCAAATCAAATCGAATCGAATCCAATCGAACTGAATCCTAACCAAACAAACAACATGATCGAATCGAATTAACTTCCCATACACCAATTGCCAATTGAAATGTGAATGATCCCCCAAAAAAAATACAAAATCAAATCAAATCGAATTCGCAAACTGCAGCTGCGTGTATTCAAATTGGCCAAGTCTTGGCCAACACTTAATTTACTCATTTCGATTATGGGACGCACCATGGGCGCTTTGGGTAATCTGACATTTGTACTTTGCATTATCATCTTCATCTTTGCGGTGATGGGAATGCAACTGTTCGGAAAGAATTATCATGGTAAGTGCAAGCTCAATCGCATCCCCAAACCTCATACAAGACTTTATTCGATGTGTGTTATTGTGTGTTTCTGTTTTCGGCCCTTTCTGTTCACTACTCGTATACGTAATCGTGTCTATGTGTCATGGGGATCACTGTACCCCCGATTTATATCTAGCCTCACCTGTCTGTATGTACTGCGTTCTTTGTGTTCACCAAGCTCAGTTTTACACATTAAAGGAATCCAATTGGAAGGAAAAGGATCAAGGCTCTATAACCTAGAGGTCTTCCATCCAATTGCATTCTGTATAACCATCATGCCATGCTACTTTTGATTTATTGTTAGCCAATAAGCGTTTTCGTTAGCTTAGCAATCTGATCAACCCATTAGTCCGTTCCGAATGGAAACCCCACCACATCCAGTCCATCATAGTCGATCCTTGGCGACTATAAGAATGTTTTTATTAATTACTTGGAGCTTGGGTCCAATTATTGTTTGGCCTTCAAGTTCAATGTTCGATCGAGAGAGTTGCTCCGTAAGTACGGCCACTATCTTTTCTCCTAGCTAATTTACTCCAAGCTCGTCTATTTCATTTTTCCTTCCTAAGTATTTTGTATATGAGAACGCAAACGCAACCTAGCTACACACTTTCGTAGCTCTAGCCTAAGAAATCATGATGTTGATGGTAATGAGACGTGCGTTACTTTGTGCCACCCCTTTTCGGTTCTTATCGCTTTTTCTTTCTGTGTACGATTTTTCTGGCATTTACCTTATATACCACACCGTTTTTTTGTGAGTGCCCGCTGCGCTGAACACTTTTTGCACACGCTTTTGTATGTGGCTTGACACCGAACCAAATAAAATAAAAACCAAAGAACACCAATTGAAACAATGTCCAAATACCCCCAAAATTGAACGATGCAAGGAGAGTTGGGTGCCACGATAATAACGATCCTTGTATGCCATCGCCAGATCACAAGGACCGCTTCCCGGATGGCGACCTGCCGCGCTGGAACTTCACCGACTTCATGCACAGCTTCATGATCGTGTTCCGGGTGCTCTGCGGCGAATGGATCGAGTCCATGTGGGACTGCATGTACGTGGGCGATGTCTCGTGCATTCCCTTCTTCTTGGCCACCGTTGTCATCGGCAATCTTGTGGTGAGTAATCGATTGAATTGGCCACGCGTCGATAGATCAAACCGATAAGTGGATAAGCATCGTTTACAACCACATTTTACCTTTTTAAAAGCTATGTAAGCCAATCGATGACATTTCGTTGCAGGTACTTAACCTTTTCTTAGCCTTGCTTTTGTCCAATTTTGGCTCATCTAGCTTATCAGCGCCGACTGCCGATAACGATACGAATAAAATAGCCGAGGCCTTCAATCGAATTGGCCGATTTAAAAGTTGGGTTAAGCGTAATGTTGCTGATTGTTTCAAGTTAATACGTAACAAATTGACAAATCAAATAAGTGATCAACCATCAGGTGAGAGGACCAACCAGATCAGTTGGATTTGGAGCGAAGGTTTTTATCCACTTGTTTTTCAATTACTAAACTACTTTTAATTATATGATACTCGTAATACTCGTATATTGCCAACGATATAATTGCGTATACCGTTAACGTTAACTTCAACTCACCATTGGCCAGTAATTGAATTGCGTAATCGATCTAAAACCAATATCAGTATCTAAATCAAATACAAAAAATCGAACCCAATTCGCATTATGTAAACAATTTAAAACAAACAATCCCAAAACTAAAAATACGTTCTTAGCTGACAATTTGCAAATTCTCTTTAGTTAGTTTCAAGTATACCTCCCTCCCTAGACCTAGACCTTTAACCTCGAACTCAGCCATACCAACCACTCACCAGAACATGTATTTGTAAAGCCAAAAGTCTCATCTTGGTATTCATGTCGATCAAGAGATCGCTTCCATTTCTTCTTTTGTTTGTTCGTATCGGTTCCCGTTCGATTTGAACCTAAGTGTTGTTGTTCTTCAGCCGGTCACCGATCCTCTGACCTCTGACCTCAGAACTCCTCTGACCAAAGCGGCCAGCCAGCGAGTGAGTCGCGCTGAGAGAACTGTGCCGTGCCGTGCCATTTCCGATCACATCATACCCAACAAACAACTAAAACAAATCGTAACCGTAACCGTATCCGTCATAATCTTTAGCATTACTTAGATAGCCTGTATTTAGCTGAACCGAAAGTAACAGTATCAGTAAAACCAAAAACCAAGTATTGTACTCATATACGTATTTTTCCTTAGATACATATTATTCAAGTTTCTAAACATTTTATAAACTAGTTTGATCCTCGTCGTCAATACTGTTAGCAATTGAATCCTTATACCTTTGGTTGAGTTCTTTGAATCTAGCTTAAAGTTAGTAATACTTGTTTTACCTCACCTTTTGATTTCGGATTTAGGTTAATGGTTTTGGTTTTGGTTTCACAACAACCACTTCCCCCACATCCTTGTACATTAGCATTTTCAATAGTCCTCGCTGGACTCGCAACGGAGATCGATTGGCCGAGCAGAAAAAAAAACGAGATTGATTTTAAAAGAATTTCCCCAAATAGCAAATTCAATTATGTGTCTAGCTCTCATTACCGAAACGAAACAAAAATATGCGAAAACAGTATTAGACTCACATTGTAATATGGAATTATATAAATTGAAAGTAAAACAGTGGATTTGATCCTTCATAGTGTTATGAACTTTTCTTACTCTCGTTATTAAACTTTTTATTTGTTCGATTTACTGTCTGTGTATTAGTAATATGTATGGATTTTAGTTTAAACCTTAGCAACTCGAATCATCCGTCACCTTGAGTTTCATCCGCTAGCTGTGATCAGTGGAAACGGCTCGTCTCAACTGATGCCGGCTAGTGGAAACACTTTGGTTATTTACGGCTCACCAGCTTATTCTATTAAACGATCAGTTACGTTCATTAGTTGGCATCAGTGGTGCGAGTGCAGTGGAAACACTGAGCTCGATCACTGGCGTCGAGTAGTGGAAGCACTTTAGTTCAGTTCTCTACAGCGATGCGGCAAGCAGTGCGCAAAAAACTGCTTGCCCATTGATGCTGACTAGTGGAAACGCCTTAGTAACGTTTTGATCACTAGTTTATTGAGTTCATTGATCATTTTGCGATTTGTGTTGTTCGCTGTTGTGTTGTGAGCGTTCTTCCTCCTCCGTCTCCTAACTACATCCACCACAAACTACAAGGCACACTACACGAATATGAAAGATCCATTCAACATGAACCACTGACACCACCACGAACCACCAATCGAACCGCGGAGACGCTGATTAAATGTGTTTTGTGTTTCTTTTGTGTGTCCTTATCGATTTAACGATTTGATCCCAATAATAAGAATTAACCGTAATATCTATCTACATTCTTTTCATTTATTATGGCTTGTCATGATTTCCAAAAAAAAAAAAAAAAAATTCGAAACATTAAAAAACAACCCATAACTTGAATCGTATTGCATTGGCCGACGTATCAAACAACGCTCAAACCAAATCAAATCTCGACTCATCCCAAATCAAATCAAATCAAATCAAACCGAATCGACTCTAATCAATTCAAATTAAATCAAAATCGAAATCAAAATCAAATCAACCAAAACGATCGACAAACAACCAACAACAACAACTTTAATGCGAACGGCAACTGCTTGTATGAATTATGAATTCGTTTCGCTTTATGATTTCCCAACAATCGATAACCGATCAATAATCGTCATTAACCATCCGTACAACTCAATATATATATATGCCATACCTCTGTTACGTTACATATGTATATATCGAACCGATTATGTAAACACTATCTATAAACCTATTACGATCGAATATGGGATACGAAAGGCAAAGGCGTTTGTCGTTGTATATCTGCAGAGCATGGTGACAACGAATTGGAGCTGGGTCACGACGAGATCCTCGCCGATGGCCTGATCAAGAAGGGAATCAAGGAGCAGACGCAACTGGAGGTGGCCATCGGGGATGGCATGGAGTTCACGATACACGGCGACATGAAGAACAACAAGCCGAAGAAATCCAAATATCTAAATAACGCAACGGTAAATACAATCCATTCCAGTGCGGATCGCAATCTACCGATTTTGAACTTGATCTTGAGCTTGGGTCCTTCGGGTTACTCGAGCTCAAGTTCCTGATACATTCTCGTATGTATTGATTTGTGATACCCCGAACCCGATCCCACACCCCCACATACTATGTATTACTACAACTACTACCGCTACTACTCCTCCCAAATACCATACATACATTATTATATAGAATATTTTCGTAACGACAAGATTGATTGATTTACATTATTTGTTCGTTTCTCTTTTTCGTTCATTAAATTTTCACTTTTTTTCTTATTACATATAACTGTCTATATGTGTACTGTTATGTGTGTGTATTCCAACACCCAATCAATGAAAAAAAAAAAAAAAAAAAAAAAAATTACCAAAACAAAAATGATAAAAACTCAACCAAACCAATCCAACCAACTGAACCACCCAACTGAATAAAACTGAAACACATGAACTGAAATCTCGCTAAAACTAAACCAAAAACCAAAACAAAAAAACAATATATATACCGATATATATAAATATATATATGTATAACTATAAATATAACTATACAGATGATTGGCAACTCAATTAACCACCAAGACAATAGACTGGAACACGAGCTAAACCATAGAGGTTTGTCCTTACAGGACGACGACACTGCCAGCATTAACTCATATGGTAGCCATAAGAATCGACCATTCAAGGACGAGAGCCACAAGGGCAGCGCCGAGACGATGGAGGGCGAGGAGAAACGCGACGCCAGCAAGGAGGATTTAGGTCTCGACGAGGAACTGGACGAGGAGGGCGAATGCGAGGAGGGCCCGCTCGACGGTGATATCATTATTCATGCACACGACGAGGATATACTCGATGAATATCCAGCTGATTGCTGCCCCGATTCGTACTATAAGAAATTTCCGATCTTAGCCGGTGACGATGACTCGCCGTTCTGGCAAGGATGGGGCAATTTACGACTGAAAACTTTTCAATTAATTGAAAATAAATATTTTGAAACAGCTGTTATCACTATGATTTTAATGAGTAGCTTAGCTTTGGTAAGTCAACTACAAAATTAAATTAAATTAAATTAAATTAAATTAAATTAACTAACTCAAAAGACTCTAAACCAGACTCGAGACTATTGTTTGCCATTTAGATTGTTGCAAATTTATGTCATTTGCTTTTTTACGTGCTAAAAACGCAAATCGTAGCTTGCAACAGATCACAAAATTTACCAATTTAACTCAAAGAATCAAAACCCATTCAAAAAAAAGCAAAAAAAAAACAATTGAAAATGTAGTTAATCAAGCCATGCTTAAACTTTACCAAAGTTGATTGCTTCATTCTACCCCCACCCCGACCCATTTATCAGTTCGATCCCAGACTCTGCTCAGTCTAGCATAGCTTAGCGTAGACATTCTCCGATTGGATCAGAATTTTATGTTCGTGTACCCATAGCCCCTAACCCCCCCCTTTAAATTAACATTTTCCCCCCACAATCTAAATGAGGGAAGATTATATCGCAGTAGCTTAAATAGGTCTGCCTCTTATGCCTAGGCACATTCCTGTCAAACGGCTTGTGTCTCCGCGTAAGCTCGCAAACCTCAGCCAGGCATTTGCTTGGTTTTCCAGTAGATCGATTAGTGTTAGCCCTAGATGTATACTTAGATATTCGATTATTCGATATAGAACTAGATGTAGACGCTTTGTGCGTATCATTTCAAGAATTTTGTCTTCAATTTCTTTGAAAATTTTTCTTTAATTGCGTTTGACTCTCATTTGTCCGCCCAAGAAGAAGATCAGAAAAAAACGAGAAGGAAAAGCCGACTGTTGCACAACAATGCAGCAAAGCTTTTATTACCATTTTAATATTCATTAATGTTATATAGCTTCTTATACTGCTTCTAGATAATTGTTATACTCGTACTCGTCTAATGTTACCTCATACTCTCCTAACCACTCTATAACGCAAATGTAAATGTCCATGTGTTTCTTCTATGAATACGCAACAACAACAACGCAACCTTCTTCGAATCGGAACAGGCATTAGAAGATGTACATCTGCCACAAAGACCCATACTGCAGGATATTTTATACTATATGGACAGAATATTTACGGTTATATTCTTCTTGGAAATGTTAATCAAGTGGTTGGCGCTCGGCTTCAAAGTGTACTTCACCAACGCGTGGTGTTGGCTCGATTTCGTGATTGTCATGGTAAGTCCACCGGTTACCCAAGTAGATCGCTCCCCATTCTGCTTTCGGACCTCTCTATTTTATTTGCCGAACTTATCTAAACGAGAAACAAAACCTAAACCACAAGCCTAATTCAAGACTGACCCAGGACCGAAATGAATTGAAGAATTACTCGAAGACGATTTTAGACTTTTCAGTTACGCCCAAATACCCTCTGACCCCCCGCCCCCAAACCCCCACACACTGTATGCTGTTTATGCCAGTATAACAGTGTCGAATTGAAAGCCACCCTAACCTTAAACTGTATATTGAGAACCATTGTATGATAAACCAGAGAACGAGTAAATAGTAACCAGTAAAGAGTAAAAGTAAACCATAGGTTAGCTTAGTTATTCACCATAGCTTAGAACGATAAGTGCCCCATAGACCATCCCCAAAACATATGTATGTAGCTTATTCAACTTTGAGTTTCGTTTTGAGTTACCCGCCACTCTAAATCGTCCATCTAGCTGTCGCTAATTAATTTGGCCGCGGTCTGGTCCGGGGCCGACGATGTGCCCGCCTTTCGCTCGATGCGAACTCTGCGCGCCCTGCGACCTCTGCGGGCAGTTTCGCGCTGGGAGGGTATGAAAGTAAGTAGCGTCCACCACAGCCTCTCTCTATCTCTGTGTCTTTCTCGCTGTCTCTCTCTCTCTCTCTCTCTTACTTATCGATCTCAGTCTAACTTCCTATATATGTTTCTCTCTGTGTAACTTTCCCTCATTCGCATTCTCTGTTGTCTTAATGTGTGTGTGTGTGTGTGTGTGCGAGTGAGTATATGTGTGTGTGTGTGTGCAAAGTAACCAACTAATACTATTTGATATTTATATCCGTTAAATGTTGTTGTCTCACTAATAAACTAACTTCCCTTTTGCGATCTAAAAATTGCGAGCTCTTCCATCTTCAATGCTATTAAAAACTGTTATACTGCTCTTCAGCTTGCTGTAAACGATGCAGCGGCTACCTAGAAGGCGGGAAATAAAATTGTATTTTCCACAAGCATGCCGCTTCACCGTTTACAACTAACTTTTTAAATTTGGGTGTGTTAAAGAACCAGCAGTAATCGCAAACTTCGTTGGCAAAGCGCTTAAGTTTCCCCAAAAAACTTTTATACACACACTAAACAAATAACCCAACTCCTGCAGCGTGTGTGTGTGTATGTACGAGCTATGTATGTTATATTAATCACTGTCTTAAATTTTGTGTTTGAAATATATATCGATATTTAAGCCATACATGTGCGTGTGTATCCGTGGGTGTAAGTGGTTTTTCTTTCGCTCAATATGTGTGTGTTATACGCTACTATCCGTCCAAGCCGAATCGCTCACACTGCGCCCAGGGCAGCGCCATGCTAAGTGTTATACCGGCCAATTCTGTACATTTTCTGCTGCCTGTTAATGTTGATGTATTTACTCCCACATATGTATGTCCCTATCTACAAAAAAATGTATCTATCAATGTCCCTACATACCCATAAATGTAACGTGAAGTTAACGTTAAATATATATATAAACCAATCAGCTGTTCTGCAAGATATTACAGAAGCTTTGTAGGCATCGTATTCAATTGCTGCCGACGCGTGCTTCAGCTTTGTTGCGTACATTATATTAATCTAACGTATATCATACGGTTATAGTTTTTACAAGTAATCTACGACCATTGTTCAAGACATACGTAGGTCAGTCATAGCTTTTAAATTGTACTATATATTATACCCGTACGTATTTTGTAAAAATTAGAGCTACGAATAATACATGCCACACAATTGGTCAGCTAATGTATCTGTTATACGAATACAAGCGTATAACAACTTGTGTATAAGTAGTTTGGTTCAACAACTAGCCATAGATCAGAAAGATACCTCCCCGAAACCCCACCCCTGTACACTCCCAGTTGCCAAAGTCCGACCCCTAGATCGTTTGGTTGTCTTAGACAGATAGTACTAGATTCCCCATCTCCAAGGCCACGTCCACGTCCACGTCCACATGAACACAACGAATATGAACCGGAACTCGACCCCCTCGCCACGACCTCCAACTTAGCGGCACCAAACTATATCCATATGTTTAGGGTTATGTACATACCAAATGTATATCCCCATAATCGATGCAAGCGAACTACGCAAAAGGGCCACAACTGCACTGAATTGTACAAACAAGATGTAAAACAGTATATTATCAGAAAACTTCGCGACGCCAAGTCGTTAGTGTATAGATATCGATATCGTTTACTCGTATATGTATATATACTGTATATTCAACCACAATCAGTACAATCAGAACAACCAGATGTCGAGTATTCGACAAATCGCTCATACGCAGTGGTGGCAGTGTTTTACTTACAACAAACGACGCTTCAGTCGCGTCTCGTCTCACACCAACTGATGTCGCTTGGTCTGGGCTAACTTAACTGAGCTCTTCTCCGGGACTAGATCCCCCTCATTTCAGTCAAACTGGGATCCACAATACCCAATCGAGTCCGGCAGCAAAGTTTGAGCAAAAATGTGTCAATATAGAGACAGATCAAGACAGAGAAACCAAAAGCCGAAAGCCATTTTCAATGAGAACCTAGTGATGAGGTCGCACGACTACACAATGGACCCATCGAGGTCCCTGCATACGCCCCGATCAACACCCGCTTCCATTCCCTTCGCTATAAAGTGTGTGTAAATATTAGAAGAAACTGTCGAATCATGGAACATCCAACTTCAATAACGTCTCGTTTTGTCCACGGCGTATGCATGCCGAATTCGTCCATTGTGGAGTGTGGTGCGGCTGGTGGTGCGAACTATCGTTGTAGGAAACAATCGATTTAGACAGAGCTAGATTAGATCCCAACCAAAGTCATATCTCACTCTCTGTGGATGTTTCGTCTACCCCAAAAGCCGCCTTATTATCGACAGGACCTCCCGGATTTCAAAACTTTGTATTTGTCTTAAAACAACAAACACACACAACTATCGACTTTTTTTCTCTCTCCCCCGGAGCAGTATTCGTATCCCTAGACTTGGATTGAACCGAAACTACTTCCAATACACATCGAACCAATCCGAAAACCAAACCCTCAGTAATCTACATATACGTACTTTATATGCATATGTTTTAACCTGTTTTGTGTGTATGTGTCTACGTCTATAAGTGTTACCATCTATGTATTTGCCAGAAGACCTATATCTATCTATCTATATATACTCGTACAAACTATATAATGTATCAACTACCGTACACTAGGCTATTGTTTAAGAACCCGTTTTGAATAAGTCAGAAGAGCGCATTGGTAATATGCAAGTAAGTTCTCCGAACCCATAAGGCCCCTGCCACGCCCCCGCCCCTTTTTGCCATGCCCCTTTTTGTCGAGCAGCAGCTGCAACAACAACGGTTTGAACTCTTTAAAGCTTCTTTCAGTTAGACAGACAGACAGACAGACGGAACCAAAAAACTTGAAACTTAAAAACGAAAACCCTATACAAAAAAACCTGATACCAAACCGAACAAAGTACCAAAAAAAAAAAAAAACTAATCACCGAAAAAAAGAAAAACACGTTTGCTTTATTTATGAAGAATCTCTGTATGCAACTAAATATGTTAAACTTGGCACTATTCGAACTATATCGAAACTAGGTATCGCTTATCAACTTCGTTGCTTCACTTGTTGGAGCTGGTGGTATTCAAGCCTTCAAGACTATGCGAACGTTAAGAGCACTGAGACCACTACGTGCCATGTCCCGTATGCAGGGCATGAGGGTACGTACTTTCCATACATACTCGTTACAACCCAATACCAAATCAATACCAAAATCAAATCAAAACCAATTACCACAACAAACTACCAACAAAGAAACAAACAACTTCATCAATCAGTATCAGTATCAGTATCAGTATCTGCATATCGTAAATCGTATATCAGCTAAATGCGCCAAATCTCATCATAAATAATAATGGCAAATCTTTTAAGCCGTCTTACCCTCTTTTAATCGTACTCGTATACACCAGCCATTCATAAAACTAACAGCAACCGATCAGAATTGTGTATCTAGAGAAATTGAAACGTAGCTTTACAGTTAACCATTTGGATTGATGGACTCATAGCCATGATTATCTGTTCAAATGCAGCAGTTGATTTGTTTCTTGCATCCGTAATCTGTAAAACCATATAAGCCATAGAAACCATAATTGATTGACTGATTAGATGATACTTACCCAACTACTTACTCAAATCTCTCTCTCATCGATCAGCCGAACACAAAAACCACACTCCAAGTACTAGAGTTAATCTTAGCTATCGTTAATCGTTATTCTTATACTTATGCGTATCGTTATTTATAATTAGACAACCGTTTTGCCTTGCCTTCTCTCTCTCACACAAGTTGCGTCTTGCTCGCTCTCTTTTTCGCTCTCGCTCGCTCTCTCTCTTTCTGTCTTACTCTATTTTTGTCCTACTATCCACATCTTTTATTGATCGTCCACTCGGCTCACTCTTAGAACAATTGGCTCATCCGAACTTAACCAACTAAGAAATTCGCTTAACTAGCTTCAATCGACGACAGTCAGTCGAGTCTATTTGCCTGCCCAGTACTGTAGAAACCGATCGAAATTAGAGATAGAGTAATCATCTTTTATGTACCTACACAACTTTCGACTCTACTCGTACTCGTATTTAATCCATCTCATCTAGTTCGCATTCCGACCGGAGTCACGTACTTAGTATATAGTTTAAGTTAATTTTTAGCAAATAGCCAAATTAGCGGTATATTCTCAACTACTTCAATTTTATCTTGTGCTTGCTTGGTATCCAATGAACCGTTATGCAGTTGCCTGTTGTACATAGTGAACCCTAATGCATGTAGTGTTGTAAAATGAACTGCTGCTTTGGCTTGGCTCAGTGTTGAGCAACGCACGCCGTCTGCAAGTAGTGTTAGTCAACACCGAGCAAATCTCCATTGCACACACACGCTTTCATCTCATTGAGCGCAAACATTCAGTATAATATAAATAACCATCTATCCAGCGATCAGACTCATTCACAAAACAACCATATACACGCACTAACACACATTTGTACATCCACATATATATTTATAAGTATGATACTAACTTGACTTAGTGTAAACCGATTAATTTATATATATATATATATATTCCTAACTGACTAAATAACTCTCTGCATTTATTGTATTATATTCTATCCCCTCTCCCCCGCCCTCGCCTCGCCTTGCCTCGCATCACCCATACACCCATGTATCCCAACTACAACAACAACCAACCAATCCATCGATAATTCAACTCCCAATCATCATCGACGTTGCCAACGACGACCCAATCGGTTAATGATCAATCGATCCACGAAATCTGAAACAAACGACTACAAAAAAAAAACGAAACCAAATTCAGGTCGTCGTTAATGCGCTGGTACAAGCTATACCGTCCATCTTCAATGTGCTATTGGTGTGTCTAATATTTTGGCTAATTTTTGCCATAATGGGTGTACAGCTTTTTGCTGGAAAATATTTTAAGGTACGTGCCAAATGTTTCAATGTAAAACCTGAACCAAAACCAGAAACCAAGCCAAAACCAAAAAACTGAAACCGAAACATAATCAATCGGGCCAAAGATCGGAAGTAAAATGAATACAAGTTACGGACTTGTGCTCGTTTCGCCTCCAAATGGCTTCAATTGAGAATATCCAATTCCAAGCAGCATTCTATAATTAGCAATCTAAATATTAAATAAATCTTGAAAGAAATGCGTATCTTTGCATCTATTTTTCGTAAATAGTTGAGTGTCAAACACGATTCGAATCATTAAGTTCAGCAGTAACTAGCAAAGGGTTTGTCCAATCAGAAGCGACAAACCCTTGCAGACTGTACACAAAATCAGAATCCATTTAAATGCAAGTTATGAGCCAGAGTCAGAATCGTAAACAAAGTCAAATAAAACCAGAATCAGATGCAGAGTCCGATTCAGCTTGGGCATGCTTATCGAACTTTATATAACTATACGAGTATGCGACCTTGCGAAAGTTGCTGCACTAAAACCGTTTCTTAGAACACTCCTTAGTAATAGCCTTAGTTTGTACTTTGCCTTTTGCACCGGAAATCGAAACAGAGCAGACCATAAACGTCAAACTAATTTAATATAACCAAATATAATCTTATCCAATACAATTCAAGCCGAGCTTTTTAAAATATCGTATAGTCAAGAGGCCAAGCTAATTAGCTGCTCAAACACTAACACTTACACTAACACACTAAACCCACTGAGACACTGATACTATTACAACTTAGTTAGCATCTATAGCTGTTTCCTTATATAATATACCCTGCCCATATCTATATTTATTACTATATCTATCTGTATGTGAAATCCCGCATAACTGAAATCCATTTTTCCGAAATCAACTCGATAAACAAAACCAAACCCATCGACGCCAAAAACCGATGACCGCCGAACCGATAACCACGATCGATAACCATCAGTGCGAGGACATGAACGGCACGAAGCTCAGCCACGAGATCATACCAAATCGCAATGCCTGCGAGAGCGAAAACTACACGTGGGTGAATTCAGCAATGAATTTCGATCATGTAGGTAACGCGTATCTGTGCCTTTTCCAAGTGGCCACCTTCAAAGGCTGGATACAAATCATGAACGATGCTATCGATTCACGAGAGGTAATGTACAACCCTTACAATCCACATCGCATCACTCCACACATCCACACCCAGACTGCATTTATGTTTGCCAATGCGCTTTGCCAACCACAAAAACAAGTATAAAATCAACAATTAAACACGCCAAATAGAGCAGAAGGCCGCTATGACAAAGCTATGTTGCAAACGAATAGTTAGTTAACCCATACATTCTGTAAATGTATAGAAATGTCAATCTCTACCTAAGTCCAGTCTATGATACTTTTTATTAATCAACCAATTTTATCTATAACTTTTTCTCTTTTTTATATATGATCAACAAATCTACAACTACAACAACACTCAATACAAAAAAAAAACAACAACTACAAACAACAACAATATATGGTCACAACACTCAAAAACAAACTATGGCCACACCCACTCCACAACAACAACACGAGCAACACTAAAAATGATCCATTCACAAAAAAAAAAAATCAAACAAAATGAAATGAAACCCGAAACTGAAACCGATGATGCCAAACTACTAAATTTCCCGCCAAACACAAAATTCTACATCGATCCTGCTGCTATCGATCGATATCGAACTGGCCAACCAATCGATAACAGGTGGACAAGCAACCAATTCGTGAAACGAACATCTACATGTATTTATATTTCGTATTCTTCATCATATTTGGATCATTTTTCACACTCAATCTGTTCATTGGTGTTATCATTGATAATTTTAATGAGCAAAAGAAAAAAGCAGGTGGATCATTAGAAATGTTCATGACAGAAGATCAGAAAAAGTACTATAATGCTATGAAAAAGATGGGCTCTAAAAAACCATTAAAAGCCATTCCAAGACCAAGGGTAAGACAACAACAAAATACAAAATAAAAACAAATAACATGATTAAAAAAAACGAAAACCTATAATCAACAAATAAACCATATCAAGAATCAAAGTACAAAATTCATAAACAATATAAAACAATAAGAAAGAGAAAAGCTTACCTATAACAAATATAAATAAATACCAAAATCTCTTAGAGGGGACATCAAAACATACAGTACGCACTTCTTGAAGTGCAAATCTATCCCAGCCAAATACTTGCTAAGTTCTCAAACTTTTCCGTTTCCGGAGAATTTCAATTAATTTGATGCCCCATAAACGAAATCCAAGTAAAACCGTCTATAAAAATATCGATAAATCAATAAGAATTTTGACTGGAACATTAAAAAAATCAACAAATGGAAATCAGGACAATAAGAGAAGCAAGCTTTTGATCGCGTAATCTGTGCCAATCGTATCTGTATTGTATATATAACATTTTGTATATATGATAAACTTTTTTCTATGTTAACTTGTATTAAAGGAACACCGAACTGTGATACTGAAGAAGACTGTTATACGAAACTGTACAACTCCAATTAAAGTCTAGAATTTTTAAGGACACTGACAATTATTACAAAAACAGTTCTGACTGTACAAAATTTAATAGTCCTTTGGCCTAATAGGAGCTCTTATACCAAAATTGATGACTTTTATATATTCGATTATTAGCCAAAGGGTTTCGCACCCCGTAACGAACTGTTTTCAAAGTGTTATACGGACTCGAACGACGACAATTACCCTTGCAATCCGTTGAGTTTATTTATTTACCAAACACATATCTACGTACGCGCGTATGTATGTATGTGAAAGGCCCTGTTCTCTAGCAATATTTTGTCAAGTTAATTGATGGATCTTTGAAACAAGAAAAACAACAAGAGAAACATTACGAAATCGAGAAGAACAATTAGATGATGGGCAGCGCAGCAAGTCGAGTCTCTGGAATGGCTGCCGTGGTGCGAGAGAGAGACAACGACAACGCACGCCACTGTTGCCATTGAGCGACTCCTGCGTGCGACTGCGAATGCGAGTGCGACGACGATGTGGTCGCAACATACCGTTTTCTTACTCTCTACTCTCTAATACTTAATTTCCACTAGCTGTATTTAAGTATTGTGTCCGTTTGGTTCGTCTGTACTTAAACATTTTTATGTCTGCCATTTATCAGCTGGACGTTCGTTCTATCAAATTTAAAATTCCAAAAGCAAAGCAAAACTACAATCTATCTTTATGTATATACCTATATCTATCTATGATACCCCACTCGCAACACTCCTAAATTAGATTTGGCAACCAATGCATGTTTCTTTACTACTCGTACAACTACTACTCCTAATCTGGATGTGTACATAGCATACATCTTGGCACGTCTCTCTTTAATCTCTACTCTGGGCATGTTTAGTGTTAGTCACAGAACGATAACCGATAACTAAATCCAATACTATATTTGAATAGAAAGCGAAATCGAAATCAGAATCCGAATCCGAATTTAAATCAAAATCCAGCAACAAGAAATTAAAAGTGCTGACGGAGAAAAGAGACAGACCGATCGATCGACCGACTGCACGTTTCCAACCGAATGATCTCTCTGCCATCTCTCTCTATTCATAGCTCTGTAAATGTATCCGTCTCTGTCTCGTGGTATGCCGCCAATGAAACTAGTAGTGTGCTTAGCCTTTAACTTAACCGTTAACCATTAACCGATTACTTTAAAGTTTAAACCCTTAACCGATGCAATGAATGAATGTTACTATAGCACACTGAGTCACTGTTTAACTATGTTACCCAACTGTTTTACCGTTATACGCCTACTCTGTACGTCTGCAGGTGCGCGGATCCGACGCTCCACAGAACAACATCACGTCATGGAAAAAAGTTTGCAATTGGCACAGATCTACAAACGTTATGTAATACTGACAAGAACCGCCTCAAATCGAGAACAAAGCAAAGCAAAGCAAAGAAACGAAATAAACCCCTATAAACCAAACTGAATGTAACTCAATAATACACATAAAAGCGATCAACTGAGCTGAAAACTCTTATCCTATTACATAAATAATAAGCAAATGCGACGTATTTAAACAAATGTACTTATACGAAACTCTTCTATTCCTTTTCTCTCTTCTCTCCAATGTGTTTTGTCGGTGTCCAACGATTATGATTACGTTTTATGTTCGTACCTTTCCGTATTATTTCACTTATGATTTCTATGTTGATCTTTGGTTGTCTTCTTTTACCATTCCAGTGGCGACCACAAGCAATAGTCTTTGAAATAGTAACCGATAAAAAATTCGATATAATCATTATGTTATTCATTGGTCTGAACATGTTCACCATGACCCTCGATCGTTACGATGCGTCGGACACGTACAACGCGGTCCTAGACTATCTCAATGCGATATTCGTAGTTATTTTCAGTTCCGAATGTCTATTAAAAATATTCGCTTTACGATATCACTATTTTATTGAGCCATGGAATTTATTTGATGTAGTAGTTGTCATTTTATCCATCTTAGGTAAGTAAAACCGAAAATCAATTTCCAAATTAACCCAAAACCAACCACTCCCCAACCGCCAACCAAATAGCCAAAGTATGCAAATCAAAACCCCGAGCTCTAAAACTAAAAGAAACACTACTTTTTGAATTCAGGATCAGTTGAATGATCCCAGAGTCGTAAACTCTCCTCTCTCTCCCCCACTCTCTCTATCTATATGCATATATTTGATGTAATAACATTTCTGTCTCTGCCACAGTACGCTCCCCTCTCTTTAAGTGTTATACTTTCTAATAATTGTTGCTAATTTTGCTGTCGTATAGGTAATGCGTAATTCCATTGTTCGATGTTGATTCGTATTCAAATCCCCCAATTCCCAGCAAAAGAATCAAGCAATGTATAATCCCCTTCCCAATCGATTTGTTGTGTCCAAAAATTGTTGTATCGCGAGTGCTCATATTGTGATCCAATCCCAGCTGTTATACTTGTATTTATGACGGGATCACGATCACTTTATGAACAGATCAATGTTGTTGTGCTTAACGTATTCCAGTTATGTTTATGTTTTCGCTTTTAACTCGCTTGCCATTTGCATAGTTAGCTGAAGGTGTATTGGTGCTTTCAATGAAAGTGTTATACACCAGTTACATAGCCATAATTTGTTCAAATCTTTGTTACCATATCCGTAAATTTGTTTTAAAGCTGCAAAACTGTTATTCACGCTAAATAAATCATTTTCAGTAAAGGCTTAAAGTTATACTAAATTTTGTATTTTTGTTATAATTCAATTAATTAAGAACATTAAACTATTTTTCAAATAAGTCTCTTAAAATTGTTATTTAATTATTTTAACAAAAAAGCTTTAAAACAGTTACAAGTATTTCGCTGGTATTTTCTAACTATACTGCTATACTGTTATACAGAATTTCAGCTAAAATTGCAAATGCGCAATCGATCAATTAATGTGGTATATATTTTAATTGTTGTTGTTGTAATTGCCAAATTTGTATGTAAAATAAGTAAATCGATGTTGAATTTTTATTTTAGCCTAAGTTGAAAAGAAAACGTAACACGTTGAAATATTGGTGTTGATTTGATTGTATTTTCCAAGTAATTGTTGTCGTTTGTAGCTGGCGTTAAATTCTAAATATTTGTACTTGACCATTAACTTGATATATTTTTCGTTGTCAATAAACTATTAATATTAACAATTGGCAGATTTCAATTGAAGTTTGTCGAAAAAATATATTTATATTTTGTTCAAGACTAAATGGGTCGAATCCATGCCGAAATATTTTATTTTTAATTGTTCTATTTTACTTGATCTGAAACTACAAATAATAGCCCGAAAAATTGAGCATACGTAAGCACAAAAAAAGAACGAACAAATGGAAGAGCTGAACCGAGACATTTTCCACCACTCAAAAAGCAAGTGGAATTATATTTGAGAAATCAAGTAGGAATTGGCTATTGGAGAAAACCAGAAACGAGCAGGATAAACTATACAAAAGATGGCTTAAAATATGCTTTACTACATTGACCAATGCAACAGAGAGCTTCCTTTTTAGTGCCGAATGCGTTAAAAAGGACGCTTTTCACCGTTCTGTTGCTGTCGAAGGTGTTACCCCGATTTGAAATGCGCCCAAAAAAATGTTTTGTCTAGCGAAAGACCCCCCCGAAAACCCCCCTCCAACCTCAACCTCAACCCGTATCCAACTCCAAGCCAGAACTAAACCAAAACCAGAAACCAAGTCAATCCCCAAAAAACGGAACCCCAAACAAACCGATCGTATTGTGTTTTTTTTTCCCAACATGTACAAGTTTTTCGTTTCACTTTTGAGATAACTATAGTTTGTGCGAGAGAAGCTTCAAGTAAAACTTTACTAATTAAGAGCTGCGAAACTTTAATGTTGCTTACGCTTCCTTTATCTCATATGTATATGTTTACTACTCGTCAGAGAATCACGCGCCCCAACTTGTTCTCATGCGCACTTTCCAAGAACCAAAAAACCAAAAACTAAAATGCTTTCAATTTTTTCGAACGCCCTTTAAGTATGCTTCCTTATTTGGCTTCGATGTTGCGACAGACGCAGAGTGATATCCTCATAGACGAATATATTAATACACGCTTAAGGCAAACGAAAACAATCCACAAAAAAAAAAAAAAAAAAGAGAAGATAACGATGACTAAGCTTTTGTAAATGCAAATTCTTTAAATAACAAAATAACATGAATAACAATAAAAAATCAATAAAGAAAGGCAATTGCTAATACACTCTTACACACACACACAAAATCACACTTACACACTTACACACTCTTACATACGTTAAATGGCTTGCACAAAAAAAACGCATAAAAAATATTAATCGAAACGAAACGAAACGAAATGAAAGTGAAAATCAAGATAAACTCAATTACACAAGATTCATTCAGAGTTAGGTGTCAATGGGCATTCCACAAGCATTCCACTCTGTGCGATTGTCGGTTGCATAACTCTGTCAGCTACTGCATGGTATCCAGACCACCGAAATCCACCTGGCGATCCCGACCTCCAAAAGGGGATCCGCCAGGGATCATCAGAGCCAGGTGCTCTGAGGGCGGGGCCCCAGCCAGGACAACGGCCATGCGGACTGTCTTAGCGCGCAGGTCCTGCAAGGCCGTTGAACTGGATCGGACCGGACCCAACGGCAATCCAACCCAGCCCGAACCAAAGCACCGAATCAAAGCACCCGTTCCGAGCCCCGTTGAATAGTGTGTAGCCAAATGCCGGAGGGTTCCGCCCACAATCAGGCCCACAATCTCTGCCATTTTCAATGAGTCAATTTTCCAAAAATCGATGGATATACCGTTGCAATAGCCTGAATCTTCTTAATGGTTTTGGTCCAATCTACGATGGAGATTATGTACTTTACTATGAACGTAGTAAAAAGCATACAACTGTGTATATTCTATAGACGAGTACCTCCCAACCACCCCCCCACCCCCCACTCTCCAATGGTTCCCAAGCCATTTCCTAGTGCGGGACTTGACCTCTATTTTATGCCCCCACCAATACCCTGTCTTACTTTCTTTTTAGAATTTTTATACCTCTATAATTAAGAAGCTTTCACGTTTGTTCTACTTTAATATTTTTCATCTTGTTAAACCTTTTTTCGAGATTGCTGTAATTTCGCTCTCGGCTCAAAATTTCAAAGGTCCTGCAAATAGTTCGTTCGACCACGCCCCCTTTTCCAACGCCCCTTTGTCATTGCTAGAGCCATCAAACAAACGATGAGAAAAAAAAGAAAAAGAAAACCAATGAACATTTTGATCGCCGGGCAGCGAACGAACTTTGCAGTGTATAGTATTTTAGTATTTGGCACTTTTAAAATATGCTGCGGATTATCGCTAAAGAAAAAACGTAACCACGCATCAAAAACAGAAACGAATTAAAAATGTATTTTTAAATATCAGTAAATCGATGATCGGTATCCCGGTATACGAATACCGGGCTCCAAGTTTTTGTTTTGATGCTACTTTTGCTGTCGCTGCTTAAATCAACGCCAACGCCAAAGATCGCCTGCTCCTGCGCCAGCTGCTCGCAAACAGCCAAAGGATATCGACTGCTGCTTAACCTGTTAACCGTTTACTGTTAACCGTTCAGCGTTTTAATCCGTTTAACTCTTTAACCTTAACGTTTTCAGTTTTAAATACCTTTTCGTTTTTGATCGTTTCTTGATCGTTTTTCTCTATCTTTCTTCATTTTGATTTTTGCGCAGCAAACCCCCTGATTTGATCTCGGCCAGCTGTAAAATTGTTAAAACCTTTATGTACCTGTACCTGTACCTGTACTGCTAATCCGTATACGTAACCAGTAACTGTACTTTGACTGTATATGTTGTATATGTAATTGTAATTGAATGGTAATACCTTCGCTCCATGACGATTGTGCGATTACCCTACCCCTTATTGTTTTGTATTTTCGTTTAGCCTGATTATGTTTTGTGTCTAAGTACCTAATACCTAAATGTAGTTTTTGTCCAAACTGTATATATTATTATTATTGTTGTTATGTATCCTTATCCCAACTGTGTGTGTGTGTGTGTCTGTTAATGTTGACTGACGTTGGAGAAGATGGAGGAGCGGAGCGTGCCGACAACCTAATGCTTTCCATATTTCAGCTATGTCAAGTGTTTATGTCTCGAGCTCCCGGAGCTTTAGTCGCCAGCTAAATACCCAATCCACAATATCCCCAATCCCATCCACGACTCCCACTCTGATTCTGTATTACTCAACTGATTTCTATTCACAAACTCAATCCCCAATCCGCTGCCAAATGTTCGCCGCAGGTCTCGTACTTAGCGATATTATCGAGAAGTACTTCGTGTCGCCGACCCTGCTCCGTGTGGTGCGTGTGGCGAAAGTGGGTCGTGTCCTTCGACTGGTGAAGGGAGCCAAGGGCATCAGGACACTGCTATTCGCGTTGGCCATGTCGCTGCCGGCCCTGTTCAACATCTGCCTGCTGCTGTTCCTGGTCATGTTCATCTTCGCCATCTTCGGCATGTCCTTCTTCATGCACGTGAAGGAGAAGAGCGGCATCAACGATGTCTACAACTTCAAGACCTTCGGACAGAGCATGATCCTGCTCTTTCAGGTAAGAGGCCCAGCCACAATTCCGTTGACGGTTTATGTTGTCTATTGTTGTTGTCGTTGGGTGATGTTGCCACGACCCCGTGCCAAAGATATCGATTCACTAGATAAACCAACTACCTCTCTGACCATCGATCGGCGACGCTCTATCGCTGGAGTTTGGACGTCGATCGATGGCCGGGAAAATAAAAAACACAAGTGGTACCGCCATTTGTGTCGGCCATTTGTTCAGTCTAGTGGCAACATCACAATGTTGATTGAAGCTGCGGTAGTTGTTGGTAAAAGCTAAATTAGAGCGATTTTTTGATAAACCTCCGATTTTATTTATCGATTTGTTTAAATCTATCTGTCTATCTGTCTGCCTATCGGTTTTCCATTTACTCTTTTACGGTCCCTGCAAAAAATGCGCAATCGATCGATTAACCAATCGATTCACTTAACTTTTACTTTGCACCATGACATCACGTGAAGGCCAAAATTGAATTGGTCATAAGCTGATGCCGTGTCCAACAGCTTTCCATTATGTTTTTGCGCTTATTTTTTCTTTCAATCAATTTGTATCTAACGTATATGCTTATCTGTATATGCATAATTTTAGTAAATTGTACAAAAAACTAATCTAATTCAGCTCTTTCAACAAACACCAAATGAAATGTTGAGTTTCCTCAAGACACCCCCTCCTGCCCAGAAAACAACAAACCCATCCACCGAAGTCTCACCACCTTTAGCTATATGCAAAAAAGTAAAGGCAAACCGAAAGAAAAGATTCGATCTTAAGATCCAGGGAATACAAACCCCATCCCTCTCTCTCTCTCTGTCTCTCTCTTTTTCTCTCTCCCACTTGCTCTCTCTATCTATCATCTATTTAACTATCTTTCTATCGCAACTGCTTTTAACATCCTACTCTTTCTATCTCCCCTACATTTGGAGCCAACCGACTCCTCGAGCTTTACAAGAGTATTGCGAATGCTTGCCTCGCTTACCGCTTTGAGTCCCCTAGTTTTGGGGCTAGAGTCCCCCGCAACTCCCACCCTCTTAGCCACGCCCTTTGATCGCCCTTTTGACCGGGCTAAGGCGATTTATATGGCTTACCAGCTTGCTCCATTTTCGGGGCCAGATCAAAGCAAAAAAAAAGCAGCCAATTATCCGTAACGTAACCGCATACCGATACACACTCAATGTATAACTACTAACTATAGCCGTAACTGTACTAACCACCTACCGTATGCCATAACTAGTTTGCTTAGACCAGCGATCCCGGTGCCGAACGTTTGACTAATGATGACTCTTCTTGTTATTGTATCTTCTGTCTTAAACTTCTCTCTCTCTCTCCCACCGCCCACACACGAACACACCGAAAAAACACACCTATACCACCACGAACGAACGACCTGACATGCATCGATAAATATCGATCTATAAATATCGATGCATCGAACCATGCCCAACCGATCGCACTACTGCCAATCCAATCCAATGAATATATATTCGATTGCAAATCGATAACACTCGCGTTGCGACTCCGTAAAATTTGATTCCTATTCGCAATCCAATAATTCAACTCACAAATCCCATATCCGAAATTTTGAATCCTAAATCCATATCCTGGATTATCCCCAACTCCTCTTCCCAAATTACTGAACCTCAAATTAACTTCCCGATCCGATCCCCATATCCTTATCCTTTAAAACTGGCAGATGTCGACGTCAGCCGGTTGGGATGGTGTACTGGACGCCATAATCAATGAGGAAGCATGCGATCCACCCGACAACGACAAAGGCTATCCGGGCAATTGTGGTTCAGCGACCGTTGGAATAACGTTTCTCCTCTCATACCTAGTTATAAGCTTTTTGATAGTTATTAATATGTACATTGCTGTCATTCTCGAGAACTATAGTCAGGCCACCGAGGACGTGCAAGAGGGTCTGACCGACGATGACTACGACATGTACTACGAGATCTGGCAGCAGTTCGATCCGGAGGGCACCCAGTATATACGCTACGACCAGCTGTCCGAATTCCTGGACGTGCTGGAGCCCCCGCTGCAGATCCATAAGCCGAACAAGTACAAGATCATATCGATGGACATACCCATCTGTCGTGGCGACCTCATGTACTGCGTCGACATCCTCGACGCCCTCACGAAAGACTTCTTTGCGCGCAAGGGCAATCCGATAGAGGAGACGGGTGAGATCGGTGAGATAGCGGCCCGTCCGGACACGGAGGGCTACGAGCCCGTCTCATCGACGCTGTGGCGCCAACGCGAGGAGTACTGCGCCCGGTTGATCCAGCACGCCTGGCGCAAGCACAAGGCGCGCGGCGAGGGAGGTGGGTCCTTCGAGCCGGATCCGGATCAGGGTGGCGGCGGCGATGGCGGTGATCCGGATGCCGCCGAACCGGAGCCAGATGAAGCGACGGACGCCGAGGCCCCCGATGGAGATGGTAGTGGTGTTAATGGTACAGGAACTGGAGATGGAGCTGCCGATGCCGACGAGAACAATGTAAATAGTCCGGGTGAGGATGCAGCGGCAGCAGCAGCAGCGGCGGCGGCGGGTACGACGGCGGGAACGGCGGCGGGAAGTCCGGGAGCGGGCAGCGCCGGACGACAGACCGCCGTTCTCGTGGAGAGCGACGGGTTCGTGACGAAGAACGGCCACAAGGTGGTCATCCACTCGCGATCGCCGAGCATCACGTCGCGCACGGCGGATGTCTGAGCCAGGCCTCGCCCCCCCCTCCAAGATGCACGCGAGTATTAGCATGAGTACGTGTTGGATGTTGCATGTTGCATCAGCGACTTGCAGCAACAGTGAGCTAACAACAACAGCAACATGGCGAACAACAAGCATAATTTTCTGCTATATAATGAAAGTACAACATACAAACAAATACAACAACAATAACAACAACAACATCAGAAGAACAACAACAACAACAACAACAACAAGCGATGAAATAACGAAGAAGAACAACAACATAACAACACCAGTGTAATGTCTTTGAGTTACATATATGTATACCCGCACTATTCAGTTAACGAGTCAGCAACCAACAACAATCATACTTAAGCTAAACCGAAATGTCTAAATAATTTGTAAGCAGCTCGTAGTCCAATCAATTTAGGCGTTTTTCCAAACAACTATTGGCCTAAGCAGGTGGAAGAAGAAGATTAACATCAATACACACACACACACACAAACACTACACACATTTACATGACCATAAACAAGAATAATACCCTAACAAAAATCGAAACAGATAACAAAGTTAAAGAACGATGAACAAGCTCTAAAAATTGTATTTGCCAGTAGTGAGACAACAACCAACACGCTTGATTTAATTAACTACTTACCAAACCTAAAAAGCAAATAACAAGAAAAGGGAGAAAGACGAGCGTACAACGGTGAAGGTAAGGGAGCAGAAGCAAAACCACTAAAAACAAATCCCCAAAAAGCTACATTCTAAAATAAACAAGATTAACTTTTTTAAACTTATTCTAAACGAGACGAGAACACCAATTCGCATAGTTTGTATTGTACATTTATTCAGCTAAATAATTAAAAACCAAATGGAGTAAATCAAAAGCGGACCCGAAACAAGTAACTAAAGCAACACCAATAAAAATTACCGCCTCAACTGCCATTGAAAGCAATACGAACCAAAGAAGAAGAAAAAAACCAAAGAGAGAAAAACAAAAGCGAAAGCTAAAAGTCAAAGTATATTCACACAATATCCATACACCCACTTACACGTACACCCGCACACAAAAAGGAAGGGAAATGGTCACCCAGGAGAGTAATAGGCAGACAGAGTAATTTCAGATTCAGAAACGATCATAACTATCGATCGGACATATTCCCTTCGCAAATTCAATTAGGCCATAACATTCCATTATCCCATTGGGCCAGCAAGAAAGTTCAAAGCAAACATTTTACCAATAGAGATCGGATGGTTGAGGCTATGACCTCATTTTGAGGTTATGTCCTCACTTTGAGGTTATGTGCTCACATTGAAGTTATGTTCTCATTTGGAGGTTATGTCCTCGGACATACCCCATACACACAGAAACACTGACACACAAACACAGAGCGACAACAGTACCAAACAAAATCCTTGGAGTTGGGGCGCATGGAGCAAACGAAAGTGAGCCGAAGACGAGTAAAACCTTAAAGGAAAGCCTTAGCAATTCATATTTGAATTCGATCAGTTAACAAATCGATCAACAAAAACAATTAAACAATGAAAGCGCGCATGAAGTGTCTAAAAGAATGGAACAATACCAAGAATGTGAAGTGAAAGAGAACCAGTACCGAAACAAGTTCAAAGCGAAGCGAAGCAAGTGCTAAAAGACGAGAAAAATAAAACAGAAAATAGCAGAAGAAGCGTTTGTGCCTAGCACAAGACAAAACTAAAGCAAACAAAGAAATGAAAACGAGTGAACAATTTAAACAAGTTTTTGTTTTCAAAGTGCTCTATTTTCACATACTTCTTTTTTATCTTAACCTACAAGTAGAATCGAGCAAAGGTCGCGATTAATGCTAAATTACACAATGAGCAAGGAGAGTAATTACGAAAAGAATATATATTACACCTAATTATAACATAACTAATTTAACTAAAATACGATATTGATACTGAATTGAATTCAAACAAAGTTTTAGCCCGACCGCTTAAAATCGTAGCATACTTTTCAGCGCATTCGCTTTCCCTTTCGTATCCGCCGCAGCCGCGTTATGACGAAGGACAAGGTGATATGAGAAAAACGATAGCCGATAATCAATCCAAAAAAAAGATAGAGTATTCCATTTAGTTGCGCTCAATTTTGCCAAGCTAAGCTTTGTTTGAATCAGCTTTACTGCATTTGATTTCTTTGGTTTCTCTGTCGTTTCATTTACTAGCAATGCCTTTTCGCCGCTGTTCAGTTTTGTATTGACAAGCAAACGATTACCGATTACAAATTACCAATTACCGATTACAATAACGATAAATGAAACTCCATCGAATGGCCCCACTACTCTGACAGTTGGGAATCATTTCGACTCGAGAGCCGCAGCAAACGAAATTATATGTGAGGTTCCATTGCGCACACACACACAGTACTCACTCACCACATTCACCCACTCACCCAAGAAACATATAAAAACTTAAACACACGTAAATGCTTTGCTTTTGCTTCGAAATTGCTGCAATCGTAGGAGGTGAATGAAAAACGAATACTTTTGGGATAAATGCGCTTTAATAAAACTATTACCAATTCACCCATTGTCACTCACGTCCACGAAAAAAACATACACAGAGATAGACATGGACATTGAAAGGACCTTCTCTCAGTGGCGATCCTCTTCTCGCTGACTTGCTCTTACTCGATCTCCGACACAAATTGATACAGTTGTACAAAACATGCTTTCACACACTGCCGGACTTCTAGCTATCTGTTGAATCAAATACAAATGCGGAACTTGTTCTAAGCACATTCACATCTACCCACTGACAAATAAACAGCATCGTACACAAGTATTTAATTTTGGGAATTGACAATTCACCCTCGACCAACCAATGACGTGTTTTGACTGCTAAAATTGTTTGATTTGCCATAACCTTTTGACACATTTCTGTTTCATTAAGTTCCCAAAATGATTTTATTAGTAGTTAACAATTATCCTTACGCAGTTGTTTGATTGCAAATGGGCAGAGTGTTTTTTGCGTCGTATAATAGTTATATAACAGTCGTTTAACAGTTATATAACAGTTGTATAGCAGTCATATAACAGTTGTATGACAGTTATATAACAGGTGTATAACAGTTATATAACCGTCTTAAAACTAAAATACAACATTGGTATGACAGTTGCAGGCCACGGACTTATAACTGTTGTATAACCATTTTACAAAAGTAAGAAGCACTCCATTTGCAACCAGCATTATCCACTTCTCATCGATCAACTCTCTCAATCCGGTTGTACGACATTAAATTAAAACAAATAAACCAAACCGCAATAGTTTCCCAACACTAGACCGATCCAATTTCACCGTCTCAAGGCGTTAAATCACAACAACTCCTAGCCAACACAAAAAAGTAACGCTAACAAAAAAAACTGTAGAGTAATTAACTTGTGTACATTATGGGGACCAGTTTAAGCGTTGGCTTAAAGTCCAAAACTTAAGTGTTTATTTGTTGCGCACGCTATTACAAGAAGCTTTGTCAATGATCAGCAACCCTTTAGGTTTGTACTACAAAAAGGCAACCCCCATCATATTGACCCTTTGACCCTGTGACCCCTAAAAAACCCCTTACCAACCTCGAGACGTAACGCAACCCGACTCGAACAGACTCCGCTTTGGTTCGCCTTAAACCCATCGTATTACGTATTTCCCCCACATTGATTAAACGCTTGCCAATTGCCAATTTTGTAACGACTTGAATGTAGCTTCATTATTATACATTTTGTTGGCTGTTTGACAAATAATACGAGTACCGACTTTAATAAATAATAGAACACATGAAAAAATAACGCAAAACGATAAATCGCTTAGTCGAGAATAATAAACGAAACATGCTATAAACTAATAACAGAAAATTAAGTTTGAAAATTCCGTACAAAATGCATAAGTTTAACGAAAAAGCATATAATATTGAGAAAACTAATCGAATAATATATCTACTTATACTGAGTGCACTGTTATAAACGAGGGGCGGGGCGAGATTAAATAAACAACAACAACAAAAACGAATCAAACGAAAATGAAAATGAAAACAAAAAACCAAAAACATATATTATAATGGTATATACTTCAAGATATTGTATTATCTATGTGTGAATAACATCATCAGCAAAACAACAGCCACACATGAAGCTTTTGCGACAAGCAAACAAAAAAAAAAACAGACAAACTAACAAAAAGTCGAGGAAGAGATACTCTATAATAGAAGTGTACATTTACAATAATAAAGGACGAAAAAAGAGAAATGAATTTTAGCAAGCGGGAAATTCAAGCGAAACCGAAACGCAATCGAAATCGAAAAGTTGAAAATTATATTTGAGGACATGAAGACGTAGAGGACGACGTCGTGGAAGGACGATAATGATATTGATAAGGAAATCTATTTCATATTTTTAGCATACGTGTGAACATATTTTTTGTGCCGAGGTTACGTTCGAAGCAACACGCGCATCATTGCCATTAGACAAAATAAAATTAATTATATATACAATATGCCTAACAATAATACGGGAAAACCAAAAAACTACCACTAATAATTATAAAACAACCAAAAACAAAAAACAAAAAAAAAACCAACAACTGCATATTTTGTGCTGCTGAAGAAAGTCACAACGCAACAAAAACATGATAACAATAAAACGTATATAAATTTCTAACAATTTTAGAGCAATAAAACCACATTACACAAAAACACACACTCTCACCACAGAAGTTTGCCGAATATTTGTACCGCCACTGTAGCGCCCATCGATGTGCGAAAGAGAGCGAGATGGGGCGAAAAGCGCTCGGCACTGCTCTCGCACAGGCCCCACAGTGGCGTCGCAAAGATTGCAACAAAGAACCGCCAGCAGCATTCTCAATTACCAAATACAAATGAAAACGCAAATGCAAGGAGATGTTGCAATTACAAAAAACGATAAAACATTTTTTTAGATACACTTCAAAAATCAAAGCGTGGAAATTTCTATATTAGTTAATAATAAAATCCTTTTTTGTTTACTCACTATATTAAAATGAAAACAAAGATGGACAAAAACTTTAGCTTTATACTCGTACATTTGTAATATATTACATAAGTCTAGTTAATTACATAAAAACAAAGGAAAATAGAAAATATATTATAAATTATAATTATACAAAAGCAAAACAGAAAACTTTTACAAATAAAAAAAACGCAAAAAAAACAAACAAAACCAAATCAAACGAAGCATAGCAAATGAAATTCAAAGTAAATTCATAAATAGCGAACAAAAATCTAAAAAAAAAAGGAGAAAACCAAAAACGAACTGTAAAAAAACAAAAAAAAAATACATTTAAATGTAAAACAGCCAGTTATTATGCATAGCTAATAAAATTCAAATACAGAGAAGAAGCAGGAGGCGAAACCAAGAAATAAGAACAATTATTGCAATTAGATATTCTACATAAAAAATTCTAAATCTTTAGTAAAGCATAAGTTGCATATACAACCACACAAACATGAACACAAACACCCACACATACGCATTCCCGTATATACGAATACGAAACGAGTAACATTTTTTTTTATCACGGACTTGAATGGTTAGTTGTTATCTTTATATCGAGTGTTATCAGTTGCCAGCCCACTCACCCACCCACACACACACAGACAGACGCCAGAAAGGACCCACACGAGACACATACATAGACAGACCTCGGAAAACCAAGCCAAGCAGCAGAGATTAAGATACCAAAATCCAAAAATCAATCCAAACCGAACACAAGAACACACAATTACGAAAGTTGCCATCCAGCGAAGTATTTGCAATTTATATTGAGAGCAAGAGTTAATAGCCGTTTATATAAAGCCCGTTGAACACGAAAACAAAACGAAAAAAAGAAAAACCAAAAACAGACTGAAGAAAATGAGAATTATTTAACAAGAAAATTTATATATATAATGATAGCCAATAAAGACAATTGCATCCAAGATATATGAACCGAATCACAAAATGCCAAGCTGCTTTTACATGCATCCAGAGCTGAGCCCCATCCACTCACACTGACACACACAGACACACACACACAGGCCGGAAATCCTGCCACGCCCACAAACAACCACCCACCCACAAAAACAGACACACAAACTGGAGATAAAGTAGCTCGTAAAAAGATTGAGATATGAGGGAAATATGTATTTATATTTATACACCAGCAAGCTAGCAAAAGTGGATACATGATACTAAAGAAGCATAATTTAAATATACATATTAAAGGAAGTCTTAACTAAAGCAACAGAAAAAAAAACTGAAATAAGAAATTAGCGAGATTACGGAAAGACGTTTGCGAAGAGACACAGGCACCGTTAGCATATTTTTTTTATACAAATACAATTTAAGCAAACGAATATGAAAATCAACAAATTGAAGTAAATTATTAGTGAGAAACCGAAGCAACTGATGATGTCTTTGTAAAGACTTTATATATGCCTGCCATATGCCTACATCTGCCTAGCTGTCTGACTCTAATACAAACACACACAACACCTTCTCCCCCCCTCCCCATCGCTCTCTCTCTCGCTTGTGCAGACACGAACAGACAGACAGACCTAGACCTCTTAAGTAAACTCCATTCATCATTCCGAACCAGGGCTCAGGTGGCCTCGATGAGAAGCGCGGAGAGAGGCGCACCGGAGCAGAGGGCTGGTTGCAAACGGTGCAGCTGTTGCACGTACCAGCCAAAAAGTGTTCAGGCTTCTTCTTCTTGTCTTTGTATGCGTTTGTTAGCTCCCCCTGATTTCTTAGCCAGTTTGGGGAGCCCGCAATACGGTGGGCTCCCCGACCTTAATCCCGATCCAGAGCCGTTGTCGAGCAACTCTATTTGATAGCAACTTCCCCGGCTACAAATTCTTAGTGGTTCAGATGGCTGTAGGATAACCAAACTCCATATACACACGCCCACACAGACACAGAGATTCTCCCTAAACGATGATAAAGATACATACATATGAATATGTATAGATTATATATGTGCGATCAAGTAAAAGCAGCTATAAAAAAACCAAAAACGAAAGGAAAAAAAAACAAATGCTAAAAAATTATGACACCCGCCACTTTTCTACTAAAAAGAAATCGACTGTATATATATATATACAAATATATATATATAAATGATAATATGAGTATATTTATGTAGCAGTATAACAGTATGTGTAGTATAACACTTTGTCCATTTGCTTGACAAACAGACACAACAACTCACAGGAACAACCACAATACACACACATAAAGACAGGCACACGATCTGCATTTTGTTTTCTAGTTTTTTTAAGGACCATTAACTTGTATTAGCGATACTCTTAATAAATAAATCTTGCAAAATAATACGAATAGCGGCTATCGCTGTCATACATTTTAATGTTTTCGCGGGCACAACCTTCAATTTTCGATTGAAGCTTGCCTCTTGTTATAGATTTTTTCGACAGAATACGAGTATTTACCAACCACAGATAATCCATTAAGTTTGAGCCACACACATATTAATACAAATATACCTACATACATATATATTTTTTTTATAACAACGTATGGGAAATCTATATGGGATAAATGAAACATAACAACAATTTTTGTATGTATTCATTTTTATTAAAAACCAAACGGGAAAAAGGGAAAATTTAAAACGAAAACCAAAACAAAGAAATACTCGTAAAACACACTGACAGACAAACAATTGTTTTTATAAAGATATATTCGATTAATGTATTTAAAATAAAATAAAAAAAAAACGAAAAGAAACAAACGCCTGAATTAGTTTATTACGCAAAAGAAATGAATTATAATTAGTTAATTCAAAATAAATTAATAAAAAAAAACAAGCATACCCAAAAAAAAAGGAAACCAAAACTGCACAATAACATCTAAATGTAAAAAATATGAACTAAAACATAAACAAAGCAAATGCAAAGGAAAAAGCCCAAAAGAAAAGAGAAAAAAGTAAACGATTTTTATTTCCGTTATATATAAATAATTAACGCTTTTTTAGTTCTCAAACAAGTTGCGTAATTTATGTATAATTTATAAAGAAAGGAAGGACAAAAACCATTAATAATAAAGCAAACCAAAATAAATCAAATTAATAAATGGGCAACCTAAAAATATTGTAATGTAATAAATGAAAAAAGAAACAATACAAAAACAAAAGGATATATATATATATAAATTAAAAGCGAAATTTTTTCACACTTTAGCTTAATAAATTGTAAAAAAAATACAAAAAAAAACAAACAAACAAAACTGAAATAAAATGAGATTTAATTGAATTTGTTATGCAAATGAAAATCTGTTCGTGTTTTCTTTGGTCCCCAAATAAGGTATAGCAAAACACACGGCTTTTGCAAATGTTATTCCAAACCCCAGGTAAGCTTTGTATAAATTTCAAAACTTTTAAGAAACCCTTGATAACCTTTGACTGGGAAAAGCCGATTTAGAATCATATAAGTCCAAATGCACCAACCAATGTGGGCTTAGTTTTTTGTTAAACAAAAAGCTGTTAAATGTATTATAATTTCATTTATTTATTTATTTAGTTATGTGTATATATATATGTATATATACGTATCGTACAAAATGTTCAAACAACAAAAAATATATATATTTTTATATATTTCGTTATAATGTTGTGTATGGATTGTGAATTTTGTTTATCGTTTGTTACTCATTTACTTATTAAACACTTTGTTGTCTGTTGATTTGACTTTGTTGATTTATTTATATTAATTTTTGTTATGTAAGTAACATGAACTTAGCATTTTGCGATTTTTGCTGGTGTAATTGGTAAAAATTTATTCTTCATTCACATCTACGATTGTTTCCTCTAACTGCTTGCTAGTTTCGGTTAGTTTTTTTTTGTGTTAATTTATTGCGGTTGCTAAAAGTAGAATTGCTATTTAATCTTGGCTTACTCGATCAGTTTCGTTATTAATCATAGCGTATATTTATTTATATTTTTGTATATATAGATGTTTTATGATGTAAGTTAATGTCTAACTCTTGCTTTGTATAAATTCTCGTTTTAGTGTTGCTTTTGGTTTAATTTTAATTTAAACAATTCTTTGTCTTTATGGGCGTTTTAAAATGCATATCAAAGTTCTTAATTAGGTTTAGAGCAGCATTTAAGTAAGTTGTCAACTCGATCATTGTTTTTCATTCATTTATTTTTGAGGAGTTACAAATATTGTTTGTCCATTTTCATATAATGTAAATCTTTGACTGCTTACGGTATTAGTGCTAAAAATTAAGTGTTAAGTTTATCTTTAGCTTTAAAGGTATATTAAACGTAATCTTTACTTTAACTGTTACACATTACTCTCATTTGTATTTCTATTTGCTTCTTTGCTGCGCCTGCTGGTCGCGGTTAACTCTGGTTAAGCTTGTCGGTCAAGTCGGTTTTTGTGAGTTTGTTTTTGTTTTTTTTTTGTTTTTTGGGTTTTTGGGCTTGTGGGCTTTTTAGAGGAAAATTGCAATCAAAGTGGGTAAGGTAAGGGGTACCGGAATTCGGAGCAGGACAGCCGATTCGGACAGGACAACACAACGATTGTTACTCCCGGGATCTGGGAGGGGGAGAAATGTGATTATTTGTTTGTATGTACAAAGTGCTGAGCCTGATTTTGAGCCGCACTCCGAAAAACAATTCCGAATAGTCCGAAGGAAAACACCAAACCGAAACGGTACATCTTATGTAAATTTTTTTCGCTTTATTTTCAAATTAATTTACAACTTTCGCGTTTTTCAGCTCTTGCAAGGTACAAAAAAAATTATTTAAAAAAAAACTTTGTGAAGAAACAAAGAAGGTCGGTCAGTAAGAAAGGAAAAACGCTCTTCGCTTACGTACATTCTGGATGCAAAGAAAAATCGAAACACACAAAGAACAATTAATTTTATACATTGTTTTTTTTTTCAAACTTTTTGCGTCTTATACAAAGGTTATCTACAAAGAAATCAGATCTGTGTGCACGAGAATTCAATATAAAAAAAAAACGTACAAAGATGGGCGAAGAAGTAATCATTTTGGGGGTTTTATAAAACAAAACGATAAAAGGAATAGTTAAAATGTGGATAACGAAATAATAATCATATATTTTGGTCTGCGACTTAAGACTTTTTTTCAGCTACATAAGATCTATGTAGTTGATTGCTTTTTTTTGTATGTATAAAAAGTTACTTGTTGCTGTTATTGTTTTTACTTCTGCATATTTCTTCTAGTTAATCTTCAACGATTACTTCGCCGTTTGTTTTTTTTCTTTACGTACGTAGTTGGTGTTCTGCTTCTCTGCGAATTGTTTTGTTAGATCTGCTGTTGGTGTTTTTCTCATAAGGTATATATGTTCAATAATTGGTTTCGTTATTTGTTTTTTTTTTGTTTTTTCATTTTTTTTTTGCTATATAAACTGTATAAATTGCCTGCCTGCTACGCTGAACGTTTTGTCAAAAAAGTTTTTGTTTTCGATTTTTGCTTTGTTTTTCGAGTTTTTTCTTTTTTTGTATTGTTTTCATTTTTTTGTTTTTGTTTTGCTTGTTTTTCGTTTACTATTTATGCCTTAACGGTAGAACTTTTGTTTTGTTTTGTTGGTTTATATGCATTACTTAACTAACAAATAGCAGCGTGCATACAGCTGCTGTACACGAACCGCACATAAGCGTATATATATACTATATATAGGCCATATGCACGAGGCTAAAGTTTATCGCTGCTTAAGGACTAACATTTATAGACTTTCCATTGTTGTTGCGGATGTTCTTGTTGCACAGAGTTAGAAAGGTTGCTTGGTTGCTGCTTGGCTTTGATGCCGATGTTGCTGTTGCTCTTGCTGTTGCTGATGTTGCTGCTGCTGCTGTTAAGTTGCTTGCTGACTGACACTGGACACTGACACAGAGACACAGAGGCCAGCCTGTTGTTTCATCTTCGTTCTTGTAATGTAGTACATATCTTTCGTATATAATAGGTATGTAGCGTAGTGTTATTAATTAATGTATGTGTTTATATATGCATGCTGCTGATGCTCCTTCTGTTCCTCCTCACTCTCTCCATCCATCTCTGCTCCCCTCTCTCCTCTCTCTCTCTCTCTCGCATACCAAAATATCATATCAGGCATATTTAATTGCGGACCGACTCCTGCCCCCTAGTTATCGCCGTTGTGATTGACATTCTGCTGCAGCTCCTTCAGCTT